GTCGGGTCCATCCTGCTGGCTTCATTTTAACTTCATCTAGGCTATCCTTCCACTGGTGGTGCAGCAGATAAAGCACTGGGCTCCTAACCAGAAGGTTGGCGGTTCTACCCATCAGGCACTCCGAGAGAAAGGTGAGGCAGCCTACTTCTAAGAAGATTTACAGCTTTGTAACCCTATGGAGCAGTTCTATTGTCCTACAGGGTTGCTATGAGTTGGAATCGACTTTGATGGCAGTGGGTGGCATAAAACCTGGCTCCCCCTCCCTTTTTTGATGGTATCACTAGCATGATTCTGGTGGGTGGATCTCACACAATATCTGTAAGAAATACTGTGCCAGCCAGGGTAAGCAATCCATCAGCCAGACTCCCCTCCTAGAACTGAGGCCTGATGACCACAGGACCCTGGGATAACCCCCTCAGAGCCATGTGAGTGAGGGAGTGTGGAGGGCTGGAGTGCACCTGGAGGGAAGAAAGGGGGACAGTGGGGTCCACTTGGTCTGAGCTAGGAGTGCTCTCTTGGACGGCACTGCTGGCCTGTCCACACCCAGGCCCTGGAAGGAGACTTCTGCTTGTCCATTGGCAGGCCTGCTGCTTAGCTGTCGGGACCCCTCATCTTCACACGTGAGCTCCAGGAGTGACCTGCAAGACAGCTGTGACCATGAACCGTCTGTTCTGTTAGTGGCGCTTCCTATGGAGCAGGTTCACCTTGGCATGCTGCTCCAGCCACCAGCAGCAGCCAGCGGGCTACCAGCAAGTGTTCCCCAGGTTCTGTGTGGTCCTGCCCATCTTCCCACTAGGCAGTTTCAGCACTAGTTCCCCTGTTTTCCTGGTTCTGTGAGCTCTCTAAGGAGCTCTGGTGGTGTAGGGGTTCATGTTATTGGGCTGTTTACCATTAAGGTCAGTGGCACGGACGTACCAGCTGCTCCATGGAAGGAAGATGAGGCAGTCTGTTCCCACCAAGATTTACAGCCTTGGAAAACCAGTGGGCGTTGCTGAGTTGGAAATGACTCAACAGCAGTGAGCTTGGTGTTTGGGTTTGACCTCCTTGTACAGACTCTAGCTCCTATTACTTGCCTCATTCTCTCTCCACTTGAGTCCTTTTCTAAAGCAGCTAAGGAAGTAAGATCACAGTTGTACCTCTCAGAATTTCTTCTGAGGGACATTCCCGAAGGTGCACAGCTGAAGTGGATTCTGTGAACCTCAGGGTGAAAATGCAGGCTTTTCAACTGGAACCCGAGACCTCAGAGCCACTCGAGTTGGTCAGTTATCACCACTACTCTCCATTGCCAGGTGGAAATATTTATTGAAAAATTGAAAACACAGATGCAATGTATTATACAAAGAAAGATCTTAATACCATAATAAAAGTATTGTTGGGAGGAAACAAAATCTAGTGACTACCTGCCCTGGGAAGGTAGGCACTCAGTGAAAAAGGAAGTTCATTTATAGGGACTATTCTAATGGGAAACTGGGGGAAAGGTTAAAAACAGAACCACCCCACCCCCTCCCTGCAAACTGAAGTGTGTAAGAATTGTTACAAGTTTGAGACAATTACATTATCACCAAGATTTATCTGAACCTCCTCGGTTTGTCCCTATGAGTAGTAATCAGCTTAAGTTAGGGCCTTCAAACCTGAGGTAGTTGAGAGTCACCTGAAAGACATGTCGGGAAAGCTCTATTCTCAGAATTGGACTCAACTGCATCTGACCAGTTCCCATTGCTTTGGCCCCTGGGATAAAAGGCAGTGCCCCCCACTGAGGGCTGTTGATCCTTTATCTGGCGTGGACCTGGGAGACGAAGGAACTGAGCACCACACAGCCGGCGGGTTGGCTGTGTGTATGGCTCACAGGCCCGTGGTGGAGGTGGTGGTGGTCTGTGCTACAGGCAGTCCGTTCTCTGGAAGACCCAAGATGGCAGAGAGAGGGCAAAGCTGTCTAGCTGGATGGCCAAGTTCGGGACTGAAGGCTTCCATTGGCAGAAAGGGTTTTCCGAAATTTGGAAAGATGTTAAAAGGTAGCAAGACATTTGCCAGTTATTGGAGCCAACAGACCCCTCTTGACTAAGGAGCTGACCAAGACCTGAAAATGTGCCAGGTGCCAGCTCAGAACCAGTTCTTCCTCAGGGTGGGAGGCCAAAGCAAGCTAACCTGACTGAGGTGACATGTCCTTGTGATCCCTGTGTTATCTAGTGTAAACCTTGGTATCTGATTTGGGAGCTGAAGTAGTTCCAAGAAAGGGTGTTGTGGACAAGGTCTGGTTCTTCCAGCCTCTAGGTTAAGGCTGCACGTTCAGGTGGGGGACCCTCAGGAAAGTGCTCTCGGCAGCAGACTCCATAAACAGTCTAAATTCCAGTCTAATTTAAACTCCTTGCTCATCTGCCCTTGCAAAGCAGATATAAAATAGCCCCATAAAGGTAGGTGTTTTCTTCGATGATTTTATTACGTACACACATCCTTACTCTAGAAGTGTTAGAGCACTGTGTTATAAAATTAAATAGATGCAGGTGTGTATCAACCTCGTATCCTAAGCCATCATTTTGTTGTGGTCCTGTCTTGTGATGACCCATTTGCATTCCCCCATGAGATAAGAGTGACTTAAATGTGACTAAAAAGCTGTGAGGTTCATTTTTAGCCTTACAATGTGATCCCTGTTTTAATCACACCAACCGCAACACGCTGAGTAACGGTAACCAAGGTAGGACATTGGATTTTGGCCTGCAGAATGGACTAGCTTCTAATTTGAGCTATTAGGAACCAATTGTACTATATGTGACAGAATTTCCTTGTGGGAGACAGAATTGGCCTCTGGTCATGCCAAAGTGCTTTCTTAACTATTTGACTAAGGCCCATGAAGGTTTTAGAAATTAGCATGGCTTCTTTTTGGAAGGAGTGTTTCAGCCCAGAATACTCTTCTGATCCAAAATAATAAATTTCCTCCCTACTGGTAATTTGGAGCACAATCACTGGGATGGCCAGGCCTCTATAGAAACGAGGACCAGCCACCTTTGGAAATGTTAAGCCACACCGAGAACACATGGACAGATTTAACTGGCCCAAGTGGGCCAAAGATGCTACCCGCCACGCCTCTGAGCCCTGGAATGGCAAAAAGCAGAACTAAAGACGGCTCGGTTTTGGCTGTTGATCCCTCCTTAGCCCAGTAGGGAGATCACACTTCTGAGGACAGTCATCTGAGCTTCTGGAAGACTGTCTGTTGAGTGCTCACTCCACCATGCACAGACGGAGTCGGCCTGGGCCGGGGGAGGGGCTGTTTCACAGTGATCAAACAGGAGTCCCACAAACCGCCATGTAGCAAAACTCAACGTGTTCCTTTGGGACAGGCCCTGGGAAGTGCCGGTTGGCTCCTACCTATGGACTGCTACAGTTCAAGAAGGAAGACACTGTTTCCCCAAGATCGAAAGGTCACTTAAATGCTGGGGGCCGTCGGGAGGTGGCGAAGTGCTGCCAGTCTTCCTGTGTTCAGGAGGCCGTTGACATGCCCTCTGTCGTCCTGTCAGCAGGGCGGCGAGAGCCGAGACTCGTGCTGAAAGGAGTCTGAGCCAGTGGCGTCCTGCTCCCTTCTGCCCTGACCCACATGCTCTGAGGAACCTGCTCACTTAGGGATCCAGCTGGTAACAGTCCAGAGATGGCACCTTGGCCTTGTTTCCGATTCTTGAAGCTGATGGAACTAGGGCAGCAAGACAAGCTTTGCCATAGTCATCCCTGAAGTCCTGATTGCTCAAAGCATCTTTCCATAGGCTGTGTGCTACTGAAAGGAGGTTAGTAATAAATACTGACGGTACTAAACCATCATGGTTCTTTCCTGATGGGAGCAAGGCTGCCTGATCTCCTGGGTGTGTGAATTCGGTAGCACATGGAATTCTTCTTCGTCAGATTCAAGAGGACGTCAAGGTAGACGTTTGGGGAAAGGAACCGGAAATCCCTGACATGTGCCCCCTTACAGGGCCCTGGCTGGATGCAAAGGGGGCTGGCCAACGTGATGCGGCATGGGGAAGTAGTGTTGCTACGGTCATCAGCTCCATTCAAGCGTGTAGTTTTTCAGCCTGGTCACAAGGAATTCCTAAGAAAGGCATCTCCTAGGCCCAGGCTATGTGCATCCTCCCCTTCTCCTCTTTCTGCAGCCCTCTCACTTGGGAAGGTAGACAGAGGCTGCCAGCTGGGGTCCAGCTTTAGGAAGGAAAGGCATTTGTTCTGCTTCTGCCTTTAGTGGAAAGCTGTTACCCAGCAGCCCTGCCCGGTCCTGGGGCCTGGCCTTGCCTGTCTGTCCCTCACCAGGACACTCAGTGTGGAGGTTGATGTGGGGCACCAAGGTAAAGCCTAAGCAGCACCATCACTGTTAACCGCTGTGGTGTAGGGGCCCCTGAAAACTCCGTGTTCCTAGGGTGCGCTTTTTGGGAGAGTTGGCTATATGAATGTTAACTTTCAAAAATAAAACCAAAAATCCCAACCAATCACCATAATAAGCAGTGGAAATCCATGGAACTGCCAAGAGGGAGAGAATCGCCTTGGCATTTTCAGCCAGGACACTCTTGTTGCTCTGATTCCGTGCACGAAGTCAGGGTAGCGTCTTGCTTTGGAATCCACCAGCCCTTGGATGCTCACAAATTTGTGCAAATGAGGAAACTGAAAAGACTGAGAAGAAAGCAGAAAAGAAAATGCATAAGATCTTCCCTTTCCACACTCTCAACAGAATCACAGGCCCGTCTCCTAAGGACACAGGTTGGTGTGGGCAGACTAAGGGAGGCAGGACTGGGAGGGAGGTCCTCTCTGTTGGCCTGGGATCCCGCTTCCCTGGCCTTGCAGCAGAGGCCAAATGGGTCCAAAACAGAAAGGTGTCACTGTAGTCTTTGGAAGGGTCATGCATCAAGTCCTGAGCAGACATCAGTCACTGGGACTCCAAGGAGTTAGTCTGGAGCTGGGGGCTAACAAACACCTAGATGGGTTATGAGAACTTACATGCTGGCATGTGGGGCGTTGGCTTGGCTCTATTCTTTCTCGGCTACCGCTTCTTGCAGTGTAGGGGGAGAAGCTTCCGTTCCTAAAAGTCAATAATTAGGGTTCATAGGAATTCGTGCTTGCATGCATTGATCTAGACAATAAAAACTGCCACCATGCTGGGTTCTCAAATACACTGTAATCACAAACATGGTGTAATCGTCTATGTCCACAGGTAAGTGTCTAAGAACGACTAGGATGTGTCTCTGATTGATTCCCAGAGCTAGTCAAGCCCAACAAGGATCAACCATCTCAGTTGTGACTCAGCTGGCCAATTTAGACATGCTCCAAGAGCAGCACACCCAGCCCTGTGTGCTGGTGGGCCAAATATGACTCAGTCTCTCAGCTCCTGACCCTGCCATCTCCTGGCCATTGTTGCCCATCACTGGCTCTCACAGTGAGCCTTGTAATCCACCCTCCCGTTCACTAGGTCTCCAATGACCACCATTCCTTCCCCGTGCAACTCTACACTGACCAGTAACTGTATTCGTAGGGAGTCAGCTGGGCTTAACGGCCTTCAGGGGCATGGCAGTCAGTGAGTGAGTGAGTGGGTGAGTGATGAGAAAATCTACTGATCAATTTTCAGTGACAAAAAAAAGCTTTTAATTCACTACAGTTTACCCTAAGTTTAGGCTTAACCACAGTGGCTCAAAGACAATTGAAGAAAAAGCGTGTTGTGAGCAGAGATGGGAAGTCTCTGACCCGAAGGACTCCTCATTCTGTCAAAGGAAAGCAAGGTCCCCACGACTCAGCCCCCTCGTCCTTCCGACAGCTCACCTTCTTCCCAGCCCTCAGCGACACCAGCAAGCTCATAATGCTTTTTCCGAAGCTCTCCCAGTTTCTGACGCTCCTTCTGCAGTTCCGTTTCTAGCTCCAGCACCCTAACCTGTGGGGAAAGGAAACAGGTCTCTCTTGATCAGCTATCTGAGGACTGTCTCATTTGGACTGAACGCCCTTCCGCCGTGTTCCTTTTCTTCCGTATCATTCACCCTGTTCCAGAGCTTGCCCGGTGCTGTCTCAATGCCTGCCACGGCTCTGCTCTCTATTCTTGCATTCATCCTTTCATCCCAGTGGCTCTTACATTTTCTCACTGTGACCCCCTACTGGGAATGGATGATGCTTTGGAAACCCAGTGCCCAACTGGGCCTGGGGCTCATCTTGTGTTCCTCTGATAAATCACGAGCCCAAAACAACACTAAAGTTTAACCACCCTGTTCCAACCCCGTTGTAACCCTTCTCCTTCAATATCCATTCTCTAGAACCAAATACGGTGGTTTTGGTATCTCTGAGGTGTTACTACAATTCAGAGTTGTTATTGCTACAGGAAAAGGCATGAACAGTTGTACTACTTCTGTTGCTATTACTCAAGGAAAAGTTGATTCTTGGCTACCCCATTCATTTACTTATTAATTCAAGAATTATTTGCTGAGTACCTGCCATGTACCCCAGGCTCTATCGTAGGTGCCGGGGACATACTGGTGAACAAACAAGATCCCCGTTTACCCACAGAAAGACGACAGAAACCAATGAACAAGGAAAGATCAGATCATAAGGAAAATGACACAGAGATGTGTTAAAGACTGAGAGTGGTCAGCAAAGGCTACTCTGAGGAAGGAGCATTTGAGCCAAAACCTAAGAAATGAGCAGTTCAAAGAACTGGGGATGGAGACCCAGGAAAAGCAAAGGCTCTCAGGCTGGAAAGGGCTCGAGGTGCCGGGAGAACAGGAGTCCTGAGTGGTCGACGTGCGAGAGGGAGAGGGTCACACGATGAAGTCAGCTGGAGAACCAGGCCAAGGTCATTTCATCCAGGGCCCACAGGCCGAGTAAGGAGGCTGGATATTATCCACTAGGTTTTAAGCAGAAAAAGCGGAATGTTATAATTTATGTTTTGAAAATACGTTGTGTCAATTATGACTCACTGTGACCCTATAGGACAGAGTGGAACTGCCCTATAACGTTTCCTGGGCTGCAGTCTTTACAGGAACAGATTGCCAGGTCTTTTCTCCTGCAGACCCACTGGTGGGTTCTAACCACTGATTTTCCAGTTAGCAGCCGAGGGCTTTAATCATTGTGCCACCGAGGCTCCTTAACCACTGCTCTGTACCACTTCTCAATCAAACAGGAACCAGCTTACTCAGATCATTCCAAACCAGGAAGAAAATGAAGTCTAACGAAAGGACAAATACTTTAGGATTCCACTCTTATGAGACACTGAGAAAAGATAGTTAGCGAGATGGAAAGTAGACTAATGGGTGTCAGGCACTGGGTGGGAGGGAAAAGGGAAAGTTACTGTTTAATGGGTGCAGAGGTTCTGTTTACGGGGATGAAAACGTTTTGGAAATAAATGGTGGTGATGGACACACACACACACACACACACACAAATGCAGAGAATCAAACTATTGAGGGATGAAGAGTGGAAGCAGGAAGAAAGACCCAGTGAGGTGGCAGCCCCCCCTTTTTTTAAAGAAAACCAAACCCTTTTATTATGGAAAATTAAAACACAGACAGAAGTGTGGAGACCGTTCCAGTGACTACACCCAGTTTTTCACTCTGCTTCACCAGTCAACAACTCATGGCCAGACTCGGCTCAGCTACACTCATTCCTAGTCTCGCCACCCTCCCCCCCTCCTGCCAGAAGATTATTTTGAAACAAATATTCACATACATTATAGTAAGGGAGGTGGCTTCTGAAGTAGTTAGGAAAGAGATGATGGCATCTTAGACTAGGGCGGGAAGGTCAACAACAGTGGAAAGATTCAGGCCGCTATGGGAAGAGTTAAGAGTTGATGGGACCTGCTGATGGACAGGACGTGGAGGGTGAGGGAAAGAGAGGAACCAAGGATGACTCAAGCATCCAGGTAGGTGGTGGCGCCATTTACTGAGACAGAAGAAAGGAGGGGGCAGGGGGTAGAGGGGATTGAGAGGTTTGCTTTGGAGGTGTTAAGTATGAGATACTTACTGGGCATCCAAGTAGAGATAACAAATAGGCAACTGTCTAAGTATGGAGCTCAAGGAGAAGAGGTGGGCTGGGGAGGAGAATCTGGCATTTATCTGCATATAACCAAAACCAACTCACTGCCGTTGAGTCGGAGCCGACTCATAGCGACCCCTCCTTGAGTTTCTGAGGTGGTATTACTATGGAAGTAGATCACCCAATCTTCCTTCTGAGGAGTGGCTGGTAGGTGTGAACCGCCAGCCTTCTGGTTAGCAGTCAAATGCCTTAGGCAGTACACCACCATATGTTGTGGTTGTTATGTGCTGTCGAGTCAGATCTGACTCATAGAGACCCCTCCTTGGGTTTCTGAGGTGGTATCACTACAGAAGTAGATTGCCCAACCTTCCTACCAAGGAGTGGCTGGTGGGTTTGAACCGCTAGCCTTCTGGTTAGCAGTCAGATGCCTTAGGCACTACGCCACCATATAGATTGTATATGGTCAAGAAAGACTGGATGAGATCGCTAAGCAAGAGTATAGACAGAGCATGCAGAACCAAAGTCAGTCCTTTCAGTGTTTGTAGACAGAACCTTGGCCACATGCCTTTTCCTCAGTATGCTAAGTGACCCATCTGTAGACCTTTACCAACCAAATCTTGATTTTATTCTAATGCCGGTGACCAGTAATTCTAGAACAAGTATGTCAGATTATTTTTTCAGTATTCCACCTCATGCCTATTTTCATGATATAACTGTGTTGAGAGAACAGCATTGCCTTTGATGGGTTCACAGTGGGTTGATGTATGTGTTTTGTGTACACATATACACATGTGTATATATATTTATTTTCCTTTAAAATTATCACAAGTATTTAGCATCAGAAGTTAAAAAAAAATTTAGTCAGACTATTAAGTAATAACAGCTTACAGACTACTACTAGGAGACCCCTGATCACACTGAGAGGGCTACTACTCCAAGACCACTGGGCAAGAGTTAAGATTCTGAGCTTCACTAATCACCTCTCCACCGCCACCATCTCTCCCAACGTTCTTCTCGGGCTAGCAGATACATCTCTCTTCACCCCTCCATCCATCCCTTGTCCCTCTCTATGGGAATCTTCTCCATGAGTAATCTTTGGGGTCGACGTCTACAGCAATAGAGACTGACTGGAACTGAGAGATGAGTTCCTACCTGGGAATCCATCTCTTGGCGTTTGATCTGGGTCAGCGTCATGCTTGAGAAGTCCATATTGTCTGCAACGAGAAGTGAGAAGGCCTTGTCACGTAACAGCCCTGGCTACGTCTCTCCTGAGGGACGGCCAGTGCTGACGCTCTGCTGAGATGCTTGGTCTGGCACCTGCCAACAGATGACACGATGGTAACCGAGGGATGAAGAGGAAGGAAGACCCAGGTTACAGAGCAGCCAGGATTAGGTCCCTCCAGGGAGTCATTTCTCTGAATTCAAAAATAATGAAAAGAAAGTCTGCTTAGGGGCCCATATCACTATAGTGATTCAAGCAGCGTGCTTATGCAGTGCCCGCCCCCTTCACAAGATAATAAGCGTGGATGTAAACAGATGAAAACTAAGAAAGATCTGGAAACAAAACCGTGGGCACTCAGATCACGGAGGGGAGGATGTAGAAACAGCTAAATAGGATGGGTAAGAAAACATTACTCCAGGAAGGCTACCTGTCTCCTCAATCTGTGATTTGCCAGAAACAGTTGAAGCCACGACCCCGGCAGTGGCCTGGGTTACTCCTCGAGAGGCCTGCTGTAGCCGGGCTAGGTTTGGGCTGTCCTTGTCAGCTTTCACCTGCCAGGACAAAGCAGATGTGGGTTCGTACAACACCGAGCAACAAGGACTCAGTCCACAGGTTGGTCTGACGGCTCTCGACAAACCTGTGTGGTCCACTCTCGTCTCAAAGATTGCTGCCTGCAGGGCCAACTCCTGGCATAGCCTTTAATAATAAAATGATTCCTGGCTTACTTTCTCAGTGCCCCCAAACTCTAGCTTCATCACTAATTTTATAAAAAATATCTTATTGTGTTTTTGGTGAAAATTTATACAGCATGTTAGGTCCCCAGTTGACAATTTCTATACAAATTTTGTAGCACAGGGGCGTATGTAAGATTATCTTCAGCCAAATCTATTCCTGATCTAGGGCTGGTTTCTGTTCACCTGCCCCCACCTGATCTTGCCTGTCTATGCATGTATCCATGGCTTGGTGTTTGGTGTTAGTGGTAATGCAGTATTGTGCATATACTAGTATTTGCCTCTGTTGTCTGTATCTTATGTGTACGTTTCAGTGTCCTTCCTTTCCCCAGTGTTACCATCCAGTCACAGACTCTTTCCATACTGTCCTTCCCCTCACCCAAATCAACACGTGACCCCCAACTAGTCTCAAATTTTCAACATTTTCTTGACTGACACTCTCATGGTTCTGCTACCAGAACCCGAAGTTTCCCTGCTTTCTCACCTTTTCATCTTCACTTTAGGTAACTGCTGACTTTTTAATGGGGCACCATACTTACGACTAAAATCCTTTACGTGCCACTCTGTCATTGCACTAAAAGGCGATACTGGGGGTAGTTTTGTTTCAAGGCTTAAAGAGTGTCTCAGGTGGTAGTCTCAGCAAGTCCTCTAGCCTCAACTGGTCCAGTAAGTCTGGACTTACAAGAGCTTGAGTTTTCTTTCCGTTCTTTCAGGGTCAATCTACCGTGGCACTGATTAGAATGATTGTTGGTGGTAGCTGGGCACCATCTAGTTCTTCTGGTCTCAGAGTAGATGAGGCTGGGGCTTATGTCAGTATTAGCCTTATAGATTAGTTCTTTTCTGAGACTTAGGTTTTCCTTCTTTCTCTTTTGCTCCTGAAGAGCAGAGACCCATATGTAGTTGTATCTTAGATGGCTGCTTGCAAGCTTTTAAGATCCCAGACACTACTCATTAGGATACAGAACAAGACATCTGTGAACTATATTATGCCAACGGACTGAGTTGTGCCATGAGACTAAGGTTCTAAGCCTTCAAACCCAGAAAACCAATCTTGTAAGGTGTTTGGTTACATCTGAGAAGTATGTGTAACTGTCCTCTATGAATATATGCGTGTACACACATATCTGTACATTCATATACAGACACTTCTCCCCGTGAACACCCTGTACACATCTGCGCCTACTCATACACATATTTGCCTACACACATACACACGTGACCATACATTTGCTTTTTGGTTATTGTTGGTGTTGTTGGCAGATGGTACACGTCATGTTCCTTAGCACAAACATCCCTTCTCTCAGGTGCTTCTTAGTGGCATCATTTGCTTAGGTCAAGCTGTGCTTAATCCACCCACATCAGGTGCTACTTTGCCCACCACCAAAAATAACAAGGATCTACGCTCTAGAGAATGATTCCTCCTGTCCCCTCCCAATCTCTGGTAACTGCTAATGAATACTGGTCCCTCTCTCTATATATATATACTCTGCCTTCTTATATAAGTGGAATCATGCAGTATTTGTCCTCATGTGATGGATTCATTTCACTCAGCATTATGTCCTTTAGATCCATCCATGTTGTAATCTGTTTTGAAGACTCATCATTGTTCTATATGGTTGCATAGAATTCCATCATACACAGGTATCACGTTTTGCTTATCAATTCATCCACTGAAGAGCACTTTGGCATTCACTGCATTTTCTTGCAGTGAACATAGGTGTGTGTGTTTCATCACTGCTTTTGAGAAATGGTTCCAACCATAGAAGCTTCATTTAGGACAATAATAGGGATGATCAAAGAACACTCACTGGGGTACACTGTAGGACTCCCTGACAGGATCTGGGTTACGAGCTTTGCATTAGATTAGCTGAGACACTGGTTCAAATTCAGAGACTCTTGAGGAGAGGCAGATGTTGGCTGTGGAAGCTCAGAGCCAAGGCAGATAATCTGTTGACCGTGCTGACATACTCCTTATTTGAGCACTCCTTGAATGCTATGACTGCTAATCAGAGGTTGGCATGGCTGGGACCCTCAAAGGCAGCTTTTAACAAAAGTGAGCGGAGCTGAGAGGAGCTCATAGGCAGAGGTGGGCAGAAGGGCTCCATGGTGACAGATGAGAGGCTTTTAGAGGACCCTGGACCTAATTTAACCTGGATCCTGGATCCATCACCTATTGTTTTGGGAGCCAGGTCTAGTCCCAGTAATCTCTAATCTAGGTCTTTCAGTGTTCTTGGGAGTCCCAGGTGGGTCCTACCTTGGATGCAGCCACAAGCTGAGCTGTGCTAGCAGTAATTTCATGGGAACACACCATGAGCTCCTCAAATTTCCCTTTGCCTTGAACCACCAGGTCAGCAGCATCCCTGATAGGGAAGGATAAGATGGACAAAGTCACTGACAGCTGCAAGCCCTTCTGATCCCACCTCTAGCCCACCCCTACCACACTGGCTAGACAGAGAAGGACCCCTGGCTGCCCTGCCTGTGTTACTCCCAGAGACCTGAGCACCTTCTTGAAGTGTTAGTCTAATCACTTCCTTCATCAACCGTTCATTTCTAAGGGGCAGATTATTTTTCTCTTGGGCAGATCAGTGGAAGGTGGTCGGGGGTGAGGAGCCTTGGGATGGACAGACACTTACACCATGACAGTGGCTCCCCAGCCAACAGCTTTGGAGGCAGAGATGAGTCCTTCTGTCCATCGAGAGTTCTTGGCATAAAACTCTTTAGGGGATGCTGTACCCTAGAAAAGGGAAAAATCAACGTGGCTCCTTTCATGAGTGCCTACTGTGTGCTAGGTACTCTTAATACATTATCTCATATCGTCTTCACACTGACTCAAGAGGTGAGCATTATAGTAATAATATTATTCCCATTTTACAGATGAGAAAACAAATGTTTTCTCCTCCAAGGTCATGCAGGAAAGAAACAGACGTAAATACTAAAGCCCACAACATTTCTCTTACAACATTTTTATACTGTATGTATAAGGAACAAATATGTATGGATGACTCATGACCTGGAGGGAGTCTAGCTACTCTCCATGACCTGCTGAAAGAGGAGAGTACAGAGTGAATGGTTTTTAAAATGATTTCTACGTGGATTTAAGATAAGTTGGTATGCTTTGAAGTGTGTGACCATCTGAGGCTCTGAAGGCAGGCACACCTTGCTTACTTCCTTCTTCTATTGTGAGGACAGAAAACATCACCTCTCAGACTAGTAAGAAGCACCGCCCAAGCCAGTCCGGCCTCTTTATTACAGGATGGTTTTCTGGCTCCCAGACCCCTCCCTGCACCACCATCTCCTGAGCTGCAGCTGCATACAGGGATGTGGGGGACAAACAGTGGCACCAGCAAAGGAGTGAGACGCTAAAGTGACAATGTCAACGAGAGTCTATGAACAGCTGTGAGGTGACTGCTGGTGGATGGGGACGCAACAGAGGCTGCTGTGAACACTTCACAGCAGGGGATGGTGCCCGATTTTCTCTTTCTGATTTGCCCAGTTTTCTAAAGTTGTCACATCCTCTTCAGAGGGCCAGACGCACACTATAAATGGGGTTTCCACAGCAGGTGTCAGTGCTGTTTGTTTGCCCTGGGTGAGTGAGTCTGTAGCTGGCAGATGCGGCTGGCTGCTCCCTGGGGACATGCTGACGCCCACTGGGGTGGCAGCTCCTCTCACACACACACAGCATATGATAGCAACATCGCTAGGTTCCACTGAGTCTGGATGAGCCGTATCAAGCCGACTCGGCCACTCAGTGGAGCGAGAATCTATAACTGATTTCTGTTCTCCTCGTCTGCACGCTCACACCCAGAACCACACCCACACTTACTATTACGGTTTGAATTGTGTCTCTACAAAATACATGTTGGATAATAATTCCTATACTTGCAGATATAATCTATCCTAATGTAACGCAATCACCTTCCACGATACAATCTCACGATATGTGTTCAACAGGCTGAAGTCATACCAGTGTTGGGCAGATCCTAAAACGACTCACTTCCTACTATACAAGGAGCAGCACAGACATGTCCAGGGGTCTCTAGGTGGCTCAAACGGTTAGCTGCTCGACTACTAGCCCACAGGGTGGTGGTGTGAACCTACCTGGGGTGCCTCAGCAGACAGGCCTGGTAATCTGCTTCAGTAAAGTCAGGGCCTTGAAAACCCCTGGAGCAATTCTACTCTACACACACGGGGTCACTGTGAGTCAGAGTCGACTCGTTGCCAACCATGTCACCACTGGCACAGACGCAGAGCAAGCGACCACACGTGGTAGAAGGTGGACGCCATGTGAGAACCGCTAAGGAAGCAAAGAACGCCCAGGACGACCGGCAAGGAGGAAATCGACAGCCGAGACGCTAATTGGACTTTCAGCCTCCAGAAGTATGACGAAATGAGTGTGTGTCCTTAAGGCCACCACCTCTGGTACCTGTGTTACTGCAGCACTGGGAGACTAAGACACTTACCCTGCCGCTTTCCACAATCTCTCTCTGCAGGTCCTTGGAGGCCACAATCAGGACTTGGATAGCTTGCATAAGGCTGGTGCAGGAACCAAGTATCCTGCAAAAGAAACATCAGGGACACAGAGACCACCAGCGATGAAGACCTTGGCCCTCTTTTTCACTCTTAAGCACGGGCCAACTTGGAATGGTAAAGGGAGGCAGGGAAGGACTGGAAATTGCTGGAACGCTCGGAGGGGAAAGCCATGAAGGAAAGACAGGTGGGTGAGAAGACATGACTGTGGACCTTACTCACAAAGGATACGTAAGTGCTAACTCTCAGGGTAGCTCTACCCTATAATGCAACAACAATATTATTTCCATCAGTAATACTGCTACCAAAAATTACAGGAGCCCTGATGAGGTGGTGGTTAAGCGCTCAGCTGCTAGGCCAAAACCTGGCAGTTGGAACCCACCGGCCACTCAGTGAGAGAAAGGCGAGGCAGTCTGCTTTTGTCTAGATTTACAGCCTTGGAAACCATACGGGGCAGCTCTACTCTGTCCTACAGGGTCACTATGAGTTGGAACCAACTCGACAGCAGTAGGTTATCAACAATTACACAGACTCAGCCCTTCTTTGAGGTTCTAATGTTCTGCTCTAACTCCCCAATGGGCACCTCGGTATAATCCAATGCAAGAAAGCCCTCTCCTGCCCAGCTGGTGCCACTGTGCTGCCCAGACTGACCTTTCGTTCACCTCCAATTTGACTCCCGTGTCTCCGGCTCGGGATTTGCTGAGCATCTCCTGTTAGAAAGAAGCATGGTTTCTCAACACGGCCCGGGTCCTGAGAAACCACAGCATACTCCTACAGGAGCCCAGCATGCTGTGGTAGCTGAGAAACCTCGATCTAGAAGTGCCCACCCAAGTCCTCCAGAGTCAGGGAAGCACCCAGAGGTCTGGCCTAGCTGGATGGAATCCGCTCCAGTGGGCTGGCTCCGTAATGAGTGAGGCACTACACACGCTGGTAGCCAGGCTGACGTGCACAGAACTCTGAGAGCTGTGGTGCTCACACCAACAGGATAGGCTGCTACCATGTCCCAAAGGCAGGTGCTGAAACTAAGGTGGCCAGCTTGAGTCATCCACCAAAGGAGCGATGTATGACTTTTCAAATTGAGTGCCTCACTCAGGGTTTCCCCAAGACAGTTGTTACCATTGACTAGAGACTGATGTAATGTGTGTGTAGCCCTGAGAGCAATGTGCATCATCTCATTCAACTTTACAACATCCCACCCAATGAGGTGATACTACTGTCACTGCCACCACACAGAAGAATCTGAATGTTAGCAAGGGTAATGTAGCTTACTGGAAGTTACACAGCCAGGAAATGGTCAGTCTGGAAACCTGAACCCAGGATGGTCTGACACCAAGGTATCGTATTCTTAGGAAACTGCTTACCTTCCTTCAGTGAGGACCTTCTCATTTTTCTATCCCTCTGAGAATCCGGTGACTTTGGGTGTTGCTTTGTTTTATAGGGGCTTCTGCAGCCTTAATGAATGACTAAAGTGCATCTAATGGGCGATGACGCCAAAGGGCTGCTGCTAGAGCCTTGGCTGACCCTCCATACCTCAATCCTGGCCGTAGCAGCTTCAATAGCAGCAGATGTGGCCGCCATCTCCTTGTCCACCAGGTCCCCCAGCTCCTCCTGTCTGATGTCCAGGCCTCTGGGTAAGAGCTCCTATAAAAAGCACGACATGACCCTTTGGCCTCTATATTCTTCCCTGGCCGACCTGTGACTTTTATAGGGTGGTAGAAGGTAGGAGGGCCCCACCACCAACACACTTCTGAAGCCATGGAGAAGTGTCTACCGCAGACCTCCTCTGGTAGTCTCTATGATGTATACTCTGGAACCTCACTCAGAATCCACCTCCTTCTAAACTGCCTACATAACCCTGTAAGGTTATAGGGTTAGCTGCGGCCGCTCAGGCCCTAACGACATAGCTGTACAGTGTCAACCATATTTGCTGCTTGGGAGGCATTTTAACACCACTTCCAAATACGTAGGGTGTCGCCCAGTCAGGTAGCCGGTCACATATTTAATTTTGTTTCCACCCCAATCATATGAGGCCGTTACTCTTCTTGTTTGGAAGGCAAGGCTCAGGGAGATAACATGTCTTGACCACAGCTAGACAACGAATAAAAGGCAGAGCAGGGGAGTGCCATTACGTTGAGAGGACTGCAACGAATGCTACAAAACGCGATGTGTATAAACTGTTCAATAGGAAATGAGTTTGTTCTGTAAGCTTTCGCCCAAACCACAATTAAAAAAAAAAAAGGCAGAGCAGGGATTTGAACTCAGGCCTGACTCCAAAGTCCATGACTTTAATAAACGTTACGTATATACATGAGAGTATAAAATACATATGACTCATTTCAAAATAAGAATAAAGACCCACGTTACCCACCATCCACCTTTAAGAAACATCGATACCTTTAAAATCTCCTTTGTATCCTGTCCTGACTCCATCTCTCTTCCTCCCGACTGTCCACTCCCCACTCCAAGCTAAACAGATTTCAGGAGAGTGGTTTTCATGTCTTATTATTTTTAAAAAATGATACATGGATGCAACCTTCATGTCTTGTTTGAATGTTTTGGTTTTTATAAAAAAGGAATCACACGTATGTCCTTTTCTATGACTTGCTTTTCCACTCAACATTCTGCATGTGAGATTAACCCTGTATCCCAGCAGCTCCACTCCTGGGCGCACAGTCTAGAGAAGCTCTCGCACACGTACATCAGGAAACATGTACAAGAATGAGCGTCCGGTACATTCACAAAAGCTCTAAGATGGAAATAAGCCAGAGGACTTTCAACAAGAGAAGACATACGATCCCAACCAAACCACTGCTACTGACTTGATTCAGATTCACAGTGACCCAGCCTTCTACCCTACTTGGTCCTACGTTTGTTTCTTACTCTCCTCTGTATGTGTGGCCGCCAGAGCTGGGCAGACCCCCTTCCACAGGACAGTCACTGGCCCCAGCATCCCTTTTTAGTTTCTGATTCTCCAACTTCAGCCATTCAATGAAAAAACCTTGTTGCCAAATTGCTCCCATCGTTTTAAAGCTCCTGTGTAGGAGAGACTTTTCTGAGCACCTTGTCAGCCCTACTGACAGAACAAAAACCTGCCCGTGGTCTTGCTACCACACTCTGCGTCCTTATGGGCTGTTTTCATTAACGTGAATTTTCATCTCCTCATTGTGTCTTTCGTATTTTGACTCACATACCGAGTTCTCAGTTTACTCCTTCAGCAATGTAGTGGGGAAGATGCCCCTTCTCTAATGAAAGCCGACTGGTAATGCTGCCTACGCCACCTCTCACCCCAATGATACGAAAATGTCACTATTGGTATGTTACCCTATTAAAGAAAAAGTTTGTGACGTCCCATTATCCATCATCTTCCTTCACCCAGACATTCAAGCTTCTCCATGACCTTAATGGGACTGTCCTTCCCTGCCAGCGCCACCTCTCTGTCTTTTTGGCTTTATCCACATGCATATTCAATTGATCAGACATTTGCTGGGCATTTACCATCTGCCACATATTCTGCCAGGGACACATCATGAGTAAGGCATGGTCTCTGCCCCTGAGGGGCTCGTCTGGTGGTGGGGACAGGTAAGCAGGCACCAGTACTCTAAGGAGAGAGGAGTGGGCAGAGGGGCCCAGAAGGTGGCTCAGGGCCAGACTGAGAATGTCCTTGCAAGTCAAGCTACATAACTGGACTTCTAGTTATCAAACCAGAGCTCTCATCATTGATCTGTTTCTGGGAAGTAAGCACGGGAAAGAGGCCAGAGTATGAATCAGCAGGCTGCTTTATGAGTCCAGATGGGAGATGGTGAGGATGTGGGCTCTGGCCCCGATGCTTTCCTTGCAGAGCTATAGCCACACATTTTTGGAGTTAATTAAACGCTACCTTGCACTGACCTCTTCAAATAGATTTCTACTGCAGTTCTAATCACACTGGGCAGAACAGCCGATTTTCCTTCTACACAGACCATGTCTCATTTGTCTCTATTACTAACCTAAGGAGCTCTGGTGGTGTAGTGGTTAAGGGAGCTAACCAAAAGGCTGGTGGTTCGAACACATCAGCCACTCGATGGAAGAAAAATGAGGTAGTCTTCTTCCATAAAGATTTATAGTCTTGGAAACCCAATGGAGGACCCTATGAGTCAGAATCAACTTGATGGCAGGTTTTTTTTTTTTTTTTTAATTACTATACATGGTGCTTAAGGCATTTGACTACTAAGCAGAAGGCTGACAGTTCAAACCCACCAGCCACTCCTCGGAAAGAAGATTGGGTAGTCTACTTCTGTAGTGATACTGCCTTGGAAACCCAAGGAGGGGTCGCTATGAGTTGGATCCAACTCGATGGAGTTTGGGTTTTTTGGTTTATACCTAACACAATTCCTGGCATACAGGACACATTTACTACATCTTTATTGAATAAAGTTTTTGCCATTTTAGCTGTTGATTCCCCAACCAGGTAAGTCTCTGAAGACCAGGAAACTGCTTATTCCTCTTCGATACTGCCTAGTATAGAGATGACGACATCCTGGTGGCACAGTGGTTAAGTGTTGGAGACCAAGAGAGAAATCATTGAAGGACATGAGTGCAAGGCACATGTCCAACAACAACAAGAGAAGGCAAGGCCTCTCTCATAGTTAAATGCTTACTTGGCAAAACATCAAGTATTAAGAGTAGATGTTATTTTGGTAGTCCATGTTTTTATCTTATTGTGATGTTTTATACTTTGGGTCACTGTGCCCTAGTAAACAACTATTGTTTTACACTCCTTATTCCTGAGGAGACTTCTGTGATTGTTTTAATGACCACCTGTTGTCCTTGAGCACGTAGAGGTGTAAAACTTCAACTTTGTAGAGAATAAGCTCATTGTATGGATTCCAAGACTAATGATGTAATCATGTATAAATATATAAATAAAGTAGAACAAAGACATCAGGGGTCACTCTCACAGGACATGCAGGGCGTCTGCCTGGCCCCGTTCCTTTTAAAAAACCATTAATCCTTCTGTGTCGCTTCGTTTCATGACCTGTGCAGTTTTGCCAGATGCGGCAGTAAGCTTTGGCTGCTAACTGAAAGGTCAGCAGTTTGAACCCACCCGACTGTGGGAGAAAGTGGCAGTCTGCTTCCATAAGATTACAGCCTTGGAATCTCTGTGGGGCGGTTCTACTCTCCTACAGGTCACTATGAGTTGCAATTGATGGCAATGGGTTCGGTATAGTGATGACTGCACACTGGATTCTCAGTCAACAGCCACTGAATTAAATGGAACTGGAAAGTCCCTCAGGAGGTCAGATTTTCCAGCTTTAACTCTTATTTTCTAGAATCAAGTTTTAAGTACAAGAACAGTGGCCTCTGAACATCATGGATACCCTGGCAAATCACTAGCATTCACATCCAAGAACGGTCACTTCCTTCAGGAATAGCCCTCATGATACCTCGCCGATGGCCGCCATCTTGCCGAGACAGTTCCTCAGGGCTGTGCTGTCGGCATTGCCCAGGCTTTCCTCTTCGTCCAGGGAAGCCAGGTAGATGAGCGTCTCCTTGCCATACTGCTTACAGGTCTCCGTCAGTGCTGGAGGTACAAGGCGACAGACTTTAAGGCCCTCTGCTCCCCCTGCTCTCATGATTGGCCCCTCCTGTCCAGGTACTCACAGTCAGCCGGCTCTGGCGGGGCTCGAAGGCAGGTGGCACTACCTTGGAGAATGGTGTCACCGGTCAAGTGGGCAAGGAGGGTTACTGAGTGGAGAAGGCTACTGATACCTGCCAGGAGGGAAGGAGTGTCTCTCAGCACGGTTGAGAGGTGTGATGTTCGTACCCTTCGTCCCTAACAAGGTACCCCCACATCCGCCACTCTCTCCACATTCAAGCACCTCTGACCCTGACCAGCTGTCACTAATGACAGACCCTGTCTCCTTCCTCACCTTCTGGGCAGGCCAGATACTGGCTCCGGCTTTTTTCCAGTTGCTCAATGCAGCTGGAAACGGACTTGATCCTGGAGAGAAGGTGATCTATGAAAGAGAAGGGAGAGTGAAGTCAGAGGAAGGGTCCTGAGTGCTGTCTGCATCCACCAGGTAAGCCGCCTAATGGATGAGCCTACCTGGTGAGTGATCCAGGGCTGCAGGAGTTGCCCTAACGGGGGGAAGGGAGGAGAGACTGCCGGCTACGCAGGTACTGACCTGAGTGTGATTTACTGGGGCATGCAAAGCCATGCTTCTGAGCTTAGCTGGTCTCTTAGCCATGAAAGAGGGTAAGTGTGGTCCCAGCCTAGAGTCCGCCTCTCCTTTCTCATTGCTGCCCAGCCCATCCCAGCCAAGCTTCCCTCTCGAGTCTTCCCCACCCTCTGACTCTCATCACAGGAGCCCAGCCCCCTGCCTCTGTCCCGCTAACCCATGATCATGCTCAGAACACAACATGTCACGCCCTGTCCTGTGCTGTGCGCACAGAGCCATGGGCACTGGGCAGTTCAGCAGTTCCCCCTTCCCCTGGACCAGCCCACTGTCCTTCACTGCTCTCCCCTTCGGACTCTGAGGTATCCCCTCAGGACCCATCAGACCCTGAAGTCTTATTTTATGACATCTTCCCACCCTAACCTGAGTGACCTTCTGGGACACCTCTCTGAACCTTTCCTCTCCCTGAGAGTTAAAAACAAAGTCTGGGCTCTTGAGTCACAATGCCTAGGGGTGACTCCTGGAGCTACCACCACTAGCCGTGTGATCCAGGCTGTCTGTGCCTGCTTCCTCACCGCACAAAATGGGAATAAGAGGACTACCTCATGGCATCACTGTGAAGATTAGCTGGGTCAGGGTGTGTCAGACTTAGAACAGTACACATAAAAAACCCATTGCTGTTGATTCTGACTCATAGCTCCCCCCATTGGGTTTCCAAAGCCATAAATCTTTATGGAAACAGATCGCCTCATCTGCCGCCCATGGAGCAGCTGGTGGGTATGAACCACCGACCTTGTGGTTAGCAGCCAAATGCCTTACCCACTGCACCACCAGAGCTCCTGAGGAAAGTGAAAAATAATCCAAACCCATTGCTGTCAAGTCAGTCCTGACTCATGGTGAGCCCACATGTTTCAGAGAACTGTGCTCCACAGAGTTTCTGAGGCTGTGACCTTTCCGAAACGGACAGCCAGGCCTTTCTTCCAGGGCACTGCTGGGGGGCTCAGGCTGCCCACTTTTCTGTTGGCAGCCTAGCATGTACCCGTCTGTGCCACTGTGGGACTCAGGAAGTGCAAGTGCATGGGTACATAGTAAGTGCTCAATAAGTGCTAGGAGTTTTTATTATTATTACCCACTTTCCCCTCTTCTTTCCTTCAAAAACCTTCACACCCCAGCTGCTATCTCCTCTGAATCTACCCTCAGCTGCCCTGAGTCCTGCCATTTGCCCATTGCTCAGCGGGCTCATACTTCGCACATCGGGACCTATTCATTTGAGAGTGAAAATCAGCCGTCAGCTGCTCCCTCCCTCCTGCTTCATCCATGAAGGGCACCTCCCGTTACTCGGCCAACATGAGCCGTCGTGAGCCGTGGTCATCGTTATGTCCAGAGCTGCACAAACCGTCTCTGCCTGGGGGTGCTCTCCCACCTGCCTCTCCTCCAGGGCTCTCTGATCCCACTGTTCCGCATACGCTGAGGACACCCCTACACGCCTCGTTGGCCTGTTTACAGCAGAGGCTACACTGCTGGGAGTGTTGTTTCTGCCACTCAGGACTTCCTGGTGTCTCCCTGACCAGCCTGGAAGCTCACAGGGACCTCCTCCTCTGTGCCTTCACCATTACCTGAGCTCTGCCCCCAAGGGACCTTCTCCATCAGTGTGACTCACTGACTGAGGCTGCAGTTGTCACACCTGCATAATGACCCACAGCTGGGAGGCTGCAGAAATACTGCTGCCCAAGTCCCTCCTTCAAAGGCTCTGCTTTAACTGATGGAAGATGGGGCCTGGGCATCTGTATTCTTTAATGTTCTCTAGATAATTCTAACATACAGCCAGCTTGAGAAAAGCGTCATGTGGGATGACGTGGTGCCATCGAGCTGTCAGGACCCAGCAGGCGAGAGCCGGGCAGCGGGGGCAGTACCTGCAGACCCAGCACAGCTGACAAGCTGCGGCTCCTCCAGCTGCCTCAGGGCCTCTTGGATCGCCTGCTCGGCCGCCTTCCTGGCCTCCATCCGAAGCATTTTCCGCTGGTCCTTCGCCAGTTGCTCTGCAGACTCCTAGGAGTGGTCCAAGGAGCTAAGGGTCTGCCACAGATGCCCACTGAGCGTTGAGCAGTGTGGCTCCCTGGGACGCAGCTGGGATTCCTGGCATTTAGCTCAGGTGCTTCTTAATGAGGTCCAGTGCAGTTACACAGAGAAAATTCCTTTAATTCTGGCCACGGGTGGGTGGCCCTGACCACAGGCAGGCTATGGGGATGGATCAGTGCACCCCAAGGGCGTCCCTTTCTCAGAGCGAGCGTTCTACGACACTTTCCCTTACCTGCTCTGTGGGTGACGCAGGACGCGCTGGCATGAGGGACTCTGCCTCCAGATGCCTTTGCCTTCAGGTCAAAGTCCCCAGGCCCCCCTCACAGCCTCCCCACCTCCACGCACACTGAGGCCCATCCGTGAGTCAGAGCCTTGTCAGTCCCAGTGGGTCTCCACTACTCACCTGTGTGCTGGACAGTGTGAGCTGGGTGTGTGCCAGCTGCTCCCGGAGAGCAGACAGCTCCTCGTCTCGCTGTGCCGCGGCGCTCACCAGGCCGTCCCGCTCCTTCTCCAGTTCAGTGATCTGGGCAGTCCATCTGGCTTCTGACTGCAGTGGCAAGTCCGTGAGCAAAGGGGGGACACTGGGAGAATTAAATGGGCCCCTTCCCAGAGGTCGAACCCGCCACCTGGCCGTAAGGAACAGGAGGTCCTCTGTTACCAACCTGCTACCTGCCCTCCCCAAGGACACACTGACTACGGCTGGGACCAGCCTGGCTGGCTGCTGGCTGCCAGGGGGCAGGGACCAGCAACACTGAAGCCAGAGGGAGGGAAGAAAGCGGGCACTTGCTCACCTGGGCAGAAGTTTCCAGGTTGCCCTGGAGGACCTGGAGTTCCTGCTTATTGGTGGCAAGTTCTTGCTTCAAGCTCTCTAGAACCTCCGTCTGCTCTTGAGTCTGAGAGAGGAGAAAAGCAGGGTGGTGGCCAGGAGGAATAAACAGAGAAACATCCCTCGAGCTGCAAAGGAAAGATCTGCGCTCTCTACGTCCACTAATCTCAACCAAGAGGCAGGGCCCCCGAGGACATCAAAATGCCACTTCCGGCTAAGGGGAATGTCAAAGGAGGAAATTCAGGGATGTTTTTGAAATGTTGTTCTTAAGCCCATGGTGCTAATTAAGGTAGATCTGGTTCTCTAGTGCAGGCATCCCAACACATGGTATACTGTCAAGTGGCACCGTCTTAAAATGATTCCCTTTCTTTGATTCTTTTCTAAGTGGTGTTTTTCAAAGAGTGGATTGTGGTCCATTTATAAGACCTCACAGCTAGCATTTTAACAAAATGCATCAGTAGAACAACAAAATATCCACGTGCAGCCACACACTGAGGATAGGCTAAGTATCCTTTGGTGAAGCTTTTACTTCCGTTAGTCAGCTGCACTGAGTGTGTTCTGACTCCTGGGCACCCTACGTGTGTGAAAGCAGAACGGTTCTTCCCAGGGTTTCCTAGGCCTGATTTTTCAGGACTGTCTTCCAAGGTGCCTCTGGGTAGACTTGACCCTCCAACCTTTCTGTTAGCACCTGAGCGTGCTGTTTGTAGCACCCAGGGACTCCTTGTTCCCATTCAACTTCAAACTCCAAACTTACCGCCATCAAGTCTATTCTGACTCACAGCAACCCCCTCTGGGTTTCTGAGCCTATAAATCTTTGCAGAAGTAGATCACCCCATTTTCCTTCTGCGGAGCACCTGGTGGGTTTGAACCGCTGACCTTCCGGTTAGCAGCCAGATGCCTTAACCTCTACACCACCAGAGCTCCTTATGGGAAAGCTTATGAGATGAGAAAACTCCACATGCTTTCTTTGACTGAGTTAACAAAGTGTAGTTACTGCCATTCAGGTACATGATGTCAAAAGAGATCTGCACATTATTGAAATACACTTTGTTTTTCATGGGTTTCAAAATTCCAAATATATTTTCTTAATTAGAAATTGTTTCCATTAGACATAGGCATTTTTTATTTTGGGTCACGGGCAGGAAGGTTGAAAGCCATTACTCTAAGGCTTTCACGCATCTGACTTCTAAGCCTCACTTTCTAAGCTTCTGGTCTGTTCATGCCTCCTCCCAACACAGTGGATGTTCACCTGTCTGCGGGTCAGCAAGTCTTTGCTGATTAACCCCACTTATCTTAGGTCTCTTCATTACTTCATGCCTCTAACCCGTGTAAGCCACTGGTAACCATGTCCTGCATGGGGTATATATGTCCTTCTGTGGCACTGACTAACCCACAGAGCTGCCCGTGGAGCAGACGGAAGACAAAGTCTTTTGACCTGTGTGGTGCTCAAGACTGCCTCTAACTTGGGGAGCCCCTGCACCGTTTCGGGCTGCATGTCTCCCTCCACTCACCTTGCGCTGGGCCTGTTCACTTACACGCTGGAAGGAATCCTCCAGGTCTTTCTTGTCTCGTTCCAGATCCACCTGTGCTTGTCTTGCCACTGACACCTGCTTGGTCACCTCTGCATTCTGTAAGGGAAGAACAGTGCCCTCAGCTGGCTTACCGCAGGCTTAAAGGACAGTTTCCTTCTAGAACAAACAATGACATTCAGAGTCGAGTGCCCTAGAGGTGGGCAAAGGAACAGCTTTCCCACCCAGAAGGCACCCAGAATAAAGCTATGATCTTCAGATACTCGACTCTCAAGTATTTACAAAAATAATACAGATGGCAGACAGTCTAAGTAGGGCTGGTGTCTGGGCTGGAGCTCAAGATATGGGAGGCAAGTGAGCTTGAAACGTCGTGGTTCCCAAGAAATGGCGGGAACCTGCTAGGATCTGGAAGGGGCACCGGGCCTGGAGAAGCCACAGGCCTGAGCCGCTGTGTCTCCTGTGGTGCAGGTCTGCAGGACGGTCAGAGCGGGGTCGAGGGTCCTACCTTCCGCAGCAGATCAGCATGGTTCTGAACCAGCTCGCTGTACTTCTCCTTTAGCTTGCTATACCGCTGTTCATTGGCTTGAGCTCTCCCTGTGTGGTCAAGGACCAAGGTAAGGAGTCTACTGTGCCTGGGACCCTTGCCCTCCTTCCAATAAGCCAGGACCCCTAGACTATCCTCCTCCTTCCTCTTCACACATTTAGAGACTTTCTTCTCCCTCACATCCCTAGAAACTCCTCTGGGAAGTCTTTCTTTGGTTAACAAAAAAATTCACCCAATTGGAACTACTCCACTGATTGGTGCCTCCATGGCCTTTACGTATGTGGCATTGACCATAAATGTTTTGGAATTTCATATCAGTTTTTTTCAAGGCCACCTGTCCTGCTTCTCTTCAGATGCACACTCCCAGGTGGGTACCCTCACCACGTTCCACATGCCCATCTCCATGTCTCAGGGCTCTGTACCTGTGGACTGAGGACAATCTACCTTTCTGACTGATGACAAGAGCTGGCATTCCTGACAGCCCGTCTAGGAGGACGCCAAGTCCAGACTCTGCTGCCCGACCTTCACCTTAATCCCGAGTCTGGCCTGACTCTGCGCTCCCCGGCCTCCATCCCCAGCCCCGCCGCTCACTTTCTATCTCCGTCAGGCTCCGCTGAGCCTTCTCTGTGTCTTCTCGCTTCTTCTTGAGCTCGTCTAGCTCGGCCCGCAGGAACTCGCTGTCATCCGCCGCCTGCTGCCGCAAGTGCTGCTGCTCCGCCAGCTCGGCCTCCAGCTCACTGATGCGGCCCCTCAGCTGCAGCACTGCCCGCTGGCTCTGGGGGAGGCACTGGGGTCATGAGCCCAGTCACCGCACTGCCACTGACAGGGATGGGCTGCTGGGCGGGGGAAGTGTGTCCTGCCAGGTTCCCAGTGCTGACCAAGTAAATACCAAGGTTTTCCTAACAAGCTAATTCCCAAGGTCTCGTGAGAGGCTGACACAGGCCTGACGGGGTGACAAGCAAGACAGAGGAAAGCAGAAGTGTGGTCATAGAGTGGCTGGGGAGCAGCGGAGGACGAGCTGGAATGAGGACGGAGAAAATGCTCTGCCTGTCCCCGTAACACAGTCCACAGGGCCGGCCAGGGTCTGAGAGGCAGTCAGACGCTGCAAACAGAGTTACACATCAAACTCTTCTCTTCACATGAGAGAAGAACTGGTCTTTCCTCTCACAGCTACACAGCCAGGTGGAGAACCCGGTTGTATCTGAGTATCACACAGACCCTAACTCGGCTTCAATGCTGCCCTTAAGGCACTGTAATTGAGACCCCTGCAAGACTTAAGTTCTACTGGCTTTGGAATTCTACCAATTAAGGCTCTTTAAGGTGTGGTCCAACCAGTATGTATGTGAAGTGGGTTTCATATTAAAATTGGTCATGTTTTGAAACACAAAGGCAGATCAGATCCCACTCATACCTCAGTCTTCATGTTTTCCAGCTGTGCCTTCAGCCCACTGATCTCTCTGTACAGTTGATCAATTAAGTGGTCCCTGGGAACAGAAGGGGAACAAGTCTTTGAGACTCCATGAATTACTCCCTGAGGCCTTCAGCATTACCGGATACTCATCTAATACCCAGGGTCCACATTCATCTCAGCGTCATTGGATGTCCTTCTGGGATCTAAGTGGTCAGTACTGAGGGCAAAGACCTCTATCCTCTAACATCTGAGATGCACAGCTCACTCTTCTTCGGGCAGGTGTTGCTGTAGTCAGATCACAGTTTTAGTTTAGTTTCTGTGCCGTCTGTTTGAACCCAGCTTAGACTCACTTCTCATCTTTGTTGACACCATTCTGACTGTTGAAAATGAAGGGATCAGTGCTGAAGGAGCTGCCGAAGATGTCATCAAACTTGTTGTCAAATAAATTCTGTGGTGACCATAAGGGATGGAGAACAGAGTTAAAGATGCAGAGAACTCTACGTGTGGGTCAAATGTGGGACATGCCAGGATGGATCCCCCCCCCTTTTTTAAATCTTTATTGTGATTTGGGCAAACATTTACAGAGAAAATTCATTTTCCATACAGCGGTTCATACATATGTGTCTCATGACATTGACTGCAATTCCCCACAATGTAACAGCTCTCTTCCCACTTCCTTCCTGTGGTTACCTCTTCCCTGTGTCCTTTCCTCCCATGCACCCCTGCTCCCTGCCATCTCCCTGTTCAAACACTGCCCTTCTGTTCTTCCATGATTGATTGCTCCAAGGTGTCTATCTACCTGATGTAAACGTTCACCCCACATGCCTGTCTATTGTTTGGCTGGAAGCCACAGGAGTTTAGTTCCAGATCTGAAGGGTAACTAGGGGCCATAGCGTCGGGAGTCTTACCAGCCTCTATCAGACCAAAGATGGACCCTTTCTGAATTTGATTTAGACCCACTAAGGAGTGTGCTTAAGAACTACAAGTCAGGGGTGTTCAGTCTAGGTTAGTGTTCATGTTAGGAGGTGGCTCAACAATTAATTCTTTGATCTTGATCAAAGAACCTAGGATGACTTGGTTGGTGGCTATTTATACAGTTAGAGCCAATGAGCCCGTCTTATCCTTGAGACTTGAACTTGCGGACAAAGGAAGGGCCAAGGTTCTTTCCCTAAGTGGTGCTCACCTGCTGGGAGGCATCCATGTCCATGAGGTCATCCTTCTCTAAGACAGGCTCACTGTCTGGGGATGAGGCCTCAGCTGGGATTACCACCACAGGGCTGATATGTTCTGACAGGGCTGAGGCTCGTAGGAAGTTGGGTGGGTTCTGAAGAGGGAAGACATATATCCTCAAACATGCTAGTCCCCCACGCTTACCTGCCAGACTATGCCAGCCTCTTAAGAGTTCCAGGAACTCAGGAGCCGTCAGGGGTGTGGCCGGGCATGCTCACCTCAGGCAGCTGAGGAATCTGGATGAGTCGCTTGAAGTACTGTAGGTTGCTGGAGCGGTAGAACAGATCTTTCAACCTAGGGGTAAAGATGGATCGAAGGCGTCCTTGCTGCCTCTGCCAGCCCCAGCCTGGGGGCTGTGCAGCCACCCCGCTTTGGTATCACCTCCCAGGACAAAGGCACAGGCTGTCAAGGAGACAGCGTCCATGTCACCAGGATTCAATTATGATGCCACCAGGGAAGGTTTATTTACAGCCAGGCCTCTATTACTTGGGCCCGAGGAAGGAGTTAACTCATCCTACAAGTCCTATGGAAGAGCAGATAGCCCACAGCCTGCGTTCTGTCTCAATGCAGAATATACATTGCTGTCGATTCAACTTCCTAGGAATGGCTGACTTACAGGAACATTAATAGAAACTTCCTTTCTCCTGGTATGAAGAGTACAGTCCCTGGCTGGTACACAATTAATGTGCTCAGCTGCTAACACAAAGGTTGGCTGTTCGAGTTCACCCCGAGACACCTCGAGAAAAAGGCCCGGTGACCGACTGCTGAGGACATCAGCCACTGAAACCCCATGGAGGGCAGTTCTACTCTGACACACAAGGTCGCTGAGAGTCGGAACCAGTGCAACTGGTCACTGGAGTGTAAGCCAAGTGACATAGGGAAGGGAAAGGGAATCTAATGACTGAGGGAGAGCTTTGCTTAATGAACTTGTCTCGCTTTAGAGCTACGTGTTATCTCCCTAATTAAACCACAAGCTTCTTGAGGGCAGGGACTGAAACCTGCTGAGCTAGGTTTACCGTAGTACCAGGCACAGAGGAGTCACTCAGTAAGTATTTGTTGCAGAAAAACTACCTCTACTGTATACTGTGCCCTGCTCTTAGAAGAATATGGCCACGAAGAAGTGAAAGAACCTTGCCCATGCCCACATCTTCATTTTGAATCTATACACTGAGGAGGCTGAGAGCATCCGGACTGGTCTATTCTGAGAAGGAAGGTCATGGAGGTTAGTACCTTCCACCTGAAACACAGAAAGTTCTCATGCTCAGCCCAAGAGACTAAACCCCTAGGGTCTCAGGACAGCCTCTTGGGCCCCAAGAACTAGACCTGCCACTATGACTTCAGTGCTGCCGTCCCTGGATTCAAGGACAGCAAGGGCTCAGGGAGTGGCCAGGCCTGCGTGGAGGAGAAAGTGCGGTGGCCACTCAGCTCGATGGAGGCGTTGTTTCCGAAAGCCAGAAGCAACTGAAAGGCGATCAAGTCACCTGACCGCAGGTCTCCTTCCTTCTGGGACACAGCCAACAATAACAGGGCCGACTGCTTTCCTAAGCTACTGGAATTTCACATTCCAGGAAACTCGCCCCAGGGCCTGTCTCCTAGGATTTAATAAGTCATTTATCACAGAACACATACCAGGCTTCTCAATGGGAACAAGGAAACCAGGAGGTTAGTACAGCCCTGACCTTGTCTTCTGATTGCTGCGGGGAACCAGCCAGAGAAGCCTAAGCTCGAGGGTTAAGAGCTATGGTCTCCCCGTCGTCAAGGATGAAGAAATTAGCAGGAAAAATGAGGTGGCCAAAGTTTACAGCGCTGAGCCGGAAGGCCCGTCTCACCGGCCTCGTCTTCCCATCCCTCACCCCACCCCGCCCGCTCCTCTTGGGCGCATTTACACAAACGATGACCAGTACTTCCCGTCAGTCACCAATTATTTTATTTCCCAAATTCACTGTAGTAATTTAGCAAACCACGTCCCCCTCCCTGCCAGCCAGTCAAGCTTTCTCTTCTGGATAAGATGTTCACTGGCCCAAACACTAATATAAACATGGCTTCAAGCATTTATTGAGCACTGTATGCTTAGTAAGGAGCTCTGGTGGTGCAGTACCTAAGGCATCTGACTGCTAACCAGAAGGTTGGTGGTTCAAACCCACCAGCCACTCCGCGGAAGGAAGACGGGGCAATCTACTTCTGTAAAGAGTTACCACCTTAGAAACCTAATGGGGGTTGCCATGAGTTGGAATCGACTTGGTGGCCGTGAGTTTGGCTTTATTTGGTATGCTTAATGGACTGTGACGTGCTAAGTGTGACAGATATAACAGTGGGCAAGACAGGTGGCAGAAAGAATTGTCTGAAATAAAACAGAAAGCAAACAAGTAGGGTTCTGTGGAAGAGGAGGTGAGGGTGCGGTGGGGGTGGGGACAGAGAAGAAGACATGACTTAAATAAGGTGGCCTGAGAATGGCCTCTCTGAGGAGGTGACAGAGACTGCTTCTCCTGCGCTGACCCGGTGGCCCACGCAGCAGTAACCCAAGGGGAAAGGTTCTGACAAGAAAGTGCGGGCACACTGAGGAAAGAAGACCCTGCGTGGCTGAGACACTGCACAACAGAGATGAGGTCACAGAGGAGAGGCAGGGGCTGGATTAGGGAGGGTATGGGCCTGGGTTTTACTCTAAGGGCAACCAGAAGCCATTAAGAGGCTTTAGGCAAAGAGTTTATGTTTTCACAAGGTGGTTGGGTCTGCTGCGTGAAGCTGCAGGGGCTGGCGGGAGAGTCCAGGCAGGATTGCAGCAGCCTGGCAAACAACGATGGCTGAAGAGATGGAGATGTGGACAGAGCCAAGACAGATGTGTAGACTATCAACTGACCTGCTAATGGACATGGGAGAGAGGAAATGGCACCGTCCAGATCTCAGTGGATGATGGCAGTCTTTACTGAGATAGAAAAGACTGGGGAGAAACTGTAAGTCTGGTGCAGAGATGTCAATATGCAAGTGGAGACAACGTGAGACGGATTCAGAGGGAAGGTCAAGCTAGAGGTGCATGGTTAGGAGCTGTCGGCATGTAAATGACAGGACTCAGGGAAGCCCTGAGCATAGAGCAGGTGACGACGAACGAACAAAACCTAATCCTGCTGTTTGCTTCTGGGGAATACATTCGAGAACAGCTTCCCTAGCCATTGCTTGGTATCTGCCACCATCCTCACTACTCTCCCTCACTCTGCATCCTTAAAATGTAGACGCCTTCAACATCAAATATGAACCTGTGCGTGGGTTAACGGACTGTGTAACACTCTTTGGTTCACCTTTATTTCTACCACTTGAGACACTCACTTTGTGAATTGCTCCAAGAAGCGGTCCCGGTGGCCTTGCAGGGTGTCAGCTGGGAGACCTGGAAGAATCGGAAGAGTGTGAGTTAGGGGGAAGAGCATGAGTGGAGGGGAAAACCAGAAGCATCTCTGGAAGTTGACTGTCTCATGTTCCTCCCTCGGAGCAGCTGGTGTGTTAGAACCACTGACCTTTTGGTTAGCAACCCAATGCTTTAACCACTATGCCATCAGAGGTCCTTTGGTCTAGACAGGTAGTACAATGATAAAGTATGATAATTCAAAAGAACAAAAGTGCCTCATGGATGAAAATGGTACTTTACCTCTATGTTTTGCCTCTCAAGAACCTAACCCCAGTCTAATCATGAGAAAATACCAGACAAACCTGAGCTGAGAAATTCTACAATATACCTGAGCTGTCCTCCTCAAAACTCTCAAGGTATCAAAAACCAGTAGAAGGCTGAGAAACTCATAGCCAGAGGAATCTAAGGAGACATGACAGCTAAGTGGAAAGTGGTATCCTGAGTGGGATGCTGAGACATTAGGTAAAAACTGTGGAAATCTGAATATAGCTTGGACTGTAATTAATAAATAATGCATCAGTATGGGTTCATTAATCATGACAAATGTGTCATTCTAAGATATTAAATAAACCCACAAACTTTCTTGTTCCCGGTCCCTCCCTCACTTGGCTAGTCCCTTCCTGGCTCACAGGGTCCCCCTTCTGTCACTCATCCTCAGTCTTCTTTTCAGGTGGCACCTTCCCATCAGCCTTTAAGGACGTTCTAGTCTCTGTTGTTCATAAAACCTCCTTGTTGTTGTTAGTTAGCTGCCATCAAGTCAGCCAGAGTCTTGGTAACCTCGTGTGTAACAGAGTGAAACACTGCCAAGTCCTGTGCCAGGTCCATGGTCAGCTGGCAACTGGACTGTTATGATCCAGTAACAGTGGAGGGCAGAAGATAAACTAGATGAGTGGGACCTCCTAAAAATGAAATATGTGCATCAAGAGACTTTACCAAAAAAGTAAACAGAGAACCTACAGATTGGAAAAAAAAATTATGGCAATGATATACTGGAGAAGGGACTAATCTCTAAAATTTATGGATAACTTCAACACCTCAACAACTAAAAGACAAACAATCCAAATAAAAAGTGAGCAAAGAACATGAACAGGCACTTCACCAAAGAAGACATTCAGGTGGCCAACACACACAGGAGGAGATGCTCATGATCATTTAGCCACTGTTGTTGTTGTTATGTGCTGTCGAGTCGGACCTGACTCATAGCAACCCCTCCTTGGTTTCTGAGGCAGTATCACTACGGAAGCAGACTGCCCAGCTTTCCTTCTGAGGAGCGGCTGGTGAACCACCAGCCTTCTGGTTAGCAGTCAAGCGCCTTAGGCACTATGCTACCAGAGCTCCTACTTTGGTGAGTAGCGACTGGGATCTTAAAAGCTTGCAAGCATCCATCTAGATGCAATGATGGGTCTTTCCTCATCCAGAGCAAAGAAGAATGAAGAAAACCAAAGATTCATGGAAACAATTAGTCCTAGCAACTGGTACACCATGTGATCTGCAGCCTATACAACTATGAGACCAGAAGAACTAGATGGTGCCCAGCTACCATGGTCAACCACTTGGAGGTGGATCTATGTAGGAGATCCTGGATAGAGAGGGAGAACAAAGTGGAACAAAACTCAAAATCATTTTGGAAAAAATAAAAAGGGAACAGGTTTCCTGGTCTGATAGAGCCTGGTGGAACCACTAAGACTATGGCCCCTAGTTGCCCTTCAGGTCTGGAATTGAACCCACACCTATGGCTTTCAGACAAACAAAAGACAGGCATATGTGTTGAACATGTACCTGAGGTAGATACACTCCTCAGAGAGAACAATCATGGGAGAAAGAAGGGTTGTTTATGCACAGGGAGACAGCTCAGGGGGCAGTAGTGCATGGAGGGATGGACACAGGGAAGAGGTAACTATGGGGAGGAAGCGGGAGGGAAGCTGTTGCATTGTAGTAAATTGTAGTCAGTGACATGAGACAAAGTGTATGTGAACTGCTTGTATGGGAAGTGAATTTGCTCTGTAAACTATCACCCAAATCACAATTGAAAAGAAAAGATTCACTGTCTTGGAAATCCAATGGGGGTCGCTATGAGTTGGGATTGATTTGATTGCAGTGTTTTTTTCAACTGAGATTTTAAAAGCTTGTGAGAAGCTATGGAAGACACCATCGGTCTCTTCCTGTGTGGGTCAAGTAAGAGTGAAGAAAATCAAAGACTAGAACAATTCAGTCCAAAAGATTAACAGACCACATGAGCCCCAGCCTCCACTAACCTACTACTGACCACTCTGATCGGGATTACAACAGACGGTCCTGGGCAGAGTGGGAGAAAAGTGTAGAACAAAACTCTAAATCATTAAAAAGACCAGGCTTACTGGGCTGAGACTGGTGGAACCTGAGGCTGTGGCCCTTAGATCCCTTTCAGACCAGGGACTGAACCACTCCCAGAGGCCACCTTTAAGCCAAACAATAGAGGGGCCTATCAAGTGAACAGTAACACCCTTGAGGAACCTGCTCCTCACAACCATCAACCACACGAGAACAGATGGGCAGTGTTTTCTCAAAAACAGAGCTCAGAAGGCAGAAGGGATGGGAAAGAAACACAAGTGACAAATGGGAATGGGGAACCCAGGGAGGAAGTGGGAAGAGTGCTGTTACACGGCCGGGACTGCAACCAATGGCACAAAATGTGGATCAGCTGTTGGATGGGAAAGGAATTGGCTCTGTAAACTTTCACCCAAACCACAATAGTGTTCAAAAACACTCAAAACAAAGCGGAAAGGTAACAGAGGAAACTAGTCTGGGGGAGTAATGTATGGCACCTGACCTTACGATATGTGCAACTTTTCTATAAATGTAAAACTATCCTGAAATTAAGTTTGGTTTTTCAAAAACGTAGACTCTATCAAGTACCCCTCCTACCTTCTTCTCAGCTACACAGTTCCCCTGCCCAGAGGCAAACCACGTGGGTATAGTGTATTGCAGAAGTGACTTTAAACCCAAATACTTAATCAGCTCCCTCTTCCCACAACTCAGGAGCCCTGGTTATGTAGTGGTCAAGGCACTTGGCTGTTAACCAAAAAGTCAGTGGTTCAAACCCACCAACTGCTCTATGAAAGAAAGATGAGGCAGTCTGTTTCTGCAGAGAAACCCAATGGTGGTCCCTATGAGTCAAAATCGACAGTGAGTTTGGTTTAGTTTTTGGTCTCACAACTCAAAGAGCTCTGGTAGTACAGTGCTTAAGGCACTGAGTCGCTAACCAAAAGGCTGGTGGTTCTAACCTACCAGCTGCTCTACTGGAGAAGGATGAGGCAGTTCTACTCTGTCCTTTAGGGTCACAATGAGGATGCCCTGCTGGGCCAGCTGGGTCCCACAGCAGTTCAGGAACAACGAGAAGCTCTCCTGCATTCTGAACTTCTAGTCACCGCCTCCCTGCATTCTGAACCTCTAGTCACCGCCTCTCTTCTGGAAGTCTGTCCACCTCTGTTTTCTTCCACCATGCTCACTTACTCCAAAGCATTTCCAACTGTTACACAGCAAATCCCAACCTTCCCTCCATGACGCTAACTAATCAGAGTACTGCTGCTTCCCTTGCCTTGTCTACGTCACCCATCTCGTTCTTTGTCAATGGCCATAGTTACAGAGTATCTGTTGGCCTATACATCTAAGATGCATCCTGGTCCTTCCTGGATCATAATTCTTTGCTAGTATCCATTTGTGTCTTGATTTTTCTTGGTTTCCCACCATCCCCATGCTGTGTATGTATCTATACTTCACAGTGGCTACCTTAGAGTATGGTCCAGGAAATTCCCACATCATATTCATCTTGGTGTACATACAACAGACCCACCAAAAAAAAAAAAAATTAAAAAAAAGCAGACTCAGAAACCTAGCAGACCCACTAACACAGATGCTGTGGGAACAAGGCTCAGACACATCATTTTAAACAACAAGGCTGTAAGAGTATAAGAGCTTCTACAAGACTTACAGTTTTTGAACTACGTTCTGCTAAGGAATCCTAGCGATCTGCAGCTAGCAATGGAGAGCCCTTTGGGCAACTCTGATTTATATCTGACAGTTCTCCATAAAATCCCATTTGTACAAAGGCATGTGTTGGTAGACAGTCTGGAACCACTGCTCTAGATCACGTGGGTCTAGATCAGGACCAGGTTGACTCTTGCTTTTGTGGTTCCTAGCACACATCACGTATGTGAGAGTGTGTCTGTGTTGGAAGGTGCGGTGGTAAGGCTAGAGGCTGAAGGGGAGGGCCGTCCAGGGACACTGCTATGAGCCAGATGCTTTCCTTCCTGGGTCCTGCTCTTCTCTTCTCAAGATGCCCAAGGGGCTCCAGGAGCACTTGGAACAGAAGCAGAAAGCCAAGGACCCTGAGAGGGGCTGCATTTCTCCAGGGACAGGCTCAGGCTGTGACCTTCTGCTGGCCAGAAGCTCCCAGGGAAAGACTCAGCCCTGTGTACTCACAGGAGTGGAGTTTGAAGAGAAGCTTGACGGTGTAGTCATAGAGGTGGCTGCAGTCCAGGATGACCTGGATCAGCGGGGCGAGGCGGCACTGCCCCGCTGTCGTCACTGACACGGAGCGGGACATGTCCAAGGAGTTGAACACTAGGAAACAAACGGGGGGAGGTGAGAGCCGGCAGAGCTAAGAAATTAGAGGTCATCTCAGAGGGGCAGGAGGACCTACTCTGTACGTTATCTAATGTAACTCATTTAACTTTTTTTTTAAGTTTTATTGTGATTTGGGTTAAAGTTTATAGAGCAAATTCATTTTTCATACAGCAGTTTGCATACACTTTGTCTCGTGACGTTGACTGCAATTTCCCACAATGCAACAGCTCTCTTTCCACTTCCTCCCCATAGTTACTTCTTCCCTGTGTCCATCCCTCCATGCACTCCTGCCGCCTGAGCTGTCTCCCTGTGCATACATAGCCCTTTTTTCTCTCATGTTTGTTCTCTCCAAAGAATGTATCTACCTCAGGTAAATGTTCAAACTCCTATGCCTGTCTTTTGTTTGGCTGGAAGCCACAGGAGTGGGTTCAATTCCAGACCTGAAGGGCAGCTAGGGGCCAAAGTCTTAGTGGTTCCACCAGGCTCTATCAGACCAGCAAACCTGGCCCCTTTTCTTTTATGATTCTGAGTAATGTAACTCATTTAACTCTTAAAACACCCTGTGAAATAAGTAAAGGCATCCCTGTTATAAAGGTGAAGAAACTGAAGGTAAGTAACATAAAGGACGTGACAAAACCAAGAAGTGGTTTTGCTGAGAGGTGGCAAGTTCAAAGACAGACAGCCTCTGTGGCCAACAACAGCTGGACCAGGAGATTTGATCTTGACAGTTAACATGCTTGGTGTGTTGTAAGCAACTGACAGGCTGTGCTTTGTGCAGAATGTGGTGTAGCCAAGGGTAGGTGATCTGCTCACAGCCCAGGGGTGCTCCCAGAATGGGGGAGAATCAGATCCCTCCTGTCTCTGAGCAGCTTTACAGTCCCTGTCCCCAGCCTGATCAGCTGGACACAGCTGATCTAGAAGTTTCTGATTTAACAGGTGATGGGTGACTGCTCAAGGGAAGCCCGTGGTTTTATGGGGAATGAGAATTTCAGGACTGACATTCCTTCCCATGCACGACATCAGTCAGACGGTGAGCCCAGATCCTGGGAAGCACCCAATCTGATGGTGACAAGAGTCCACATGTGGGGAGAATACCAAACATGGAAAGGAGGAGTTCAGCCTTGGGCTTCCTGGTGGTCGACCAGTCAAGACACCATCATTGACCACAGGGCTCTTGGGACATCCAAAGCCAGGCTGTGCAAGAGCCGTGGGTGGACAACTGAAGAACCCATGAAGGGTAAGGCAAGGGGCTGAAAGCAGCACAAGACCACCAGGACCCAAGGCTGACGGAAGTCCTTGAGGAAGCCAACATGAGAATCATCCTCCATGCTCCCAAGTTCCAAACAAGTTTCTCCAATTTATTGCTCCACAGACCCCCCTACATTAACTCCCTGCCCCGGATCCTTGCCCCAGCAACTGGTTGCTCAGCTCACACCACTGGCCTGGGGTGATGTTCCTTCCTGCACTGGCTGCCGCCCACTGTCTCTGGAGACTCCACACGGGGCCAGAAGTAAAATGACCTTCCCATAGTCCTGCACTGACCTGAATGGCCACCCTCAGAGGAAAGACTGGAGTTGCTGCTTGTTTTCTGATTGCTCTAATGCCTGCTAACTGGGTTAGTCTGCAGCTGAAAAAATCCCAAACTGTTCTAATGAAAAGGCAGCTTTACTTCTTGATGGGAGCTCTGGTAGCCTAGTGCCTAAGGCACTAGACTGCTAACCAGGAGGTTGGCGGTTCAAACCCACCAGCAACTCCTTGGAAGGAAGGCTGGGCAATCTACTTCCATAGTGATGCTGCCTTGGAAACCCAAGGAAGGGTTGCTATGAGTTGGGTCCGACTCGATAACAACAACAACAACAACAACAACAACTTCTTGATACAAATTAAAGGCAGCTGTCAAGGCAAGCTGGCCACCCCCCCCCCCAAGCCTACTGGCTTTCCTAAGCTCCCTCCCTGTCAAGGGATCACAGCCTGACTGCTCCCTCCCAGCCTGCCCTCTGCTTCCCCACCGCCTTCCTGGAACATCCTCAAGGCACATGGTACACCCAGAAGAGTATGACCGAGGACACGCCGTCTCCACCTCTTTGCCTCTGATTCCTCTGCTGTAAAAATGCAGGGGACTGTGGTAGTAAATAAAGAGCTCTGCAAGTATAGTGGGTAAGGCATCTGGCTGCTAACCAGAAGGTCAGCAGTTCAAACCCATTAGCTGCTCTGCAGAAGGAAGATGGGACAATCTATTTCTACAGATTCACAGCCTTGGAAACTCAACAGAGGTCACTATGAGTCAGAACTGGCTCGATGGCAGTGCGTTTGTTTGTTTTGTTTGTGATCGTAAGTAAGGGTCTTGTAAAATAAAAATGAGAACAGCATTGTGCAGTGGTTTTCAACTTTGGCCTTGAGACTGGTTAGCATCACATGAGGAAATTCACAAACTATTGCCTGCCAACAACCCCATGCCATTCTGATTTAATTGGTCTAGGGTAGGGTTGGGACATGAGTATTTTTCATTAGCTCCCAGGTGGTTATAATGTGCAGCCAGAGTTGGAAAGCACTGGGGCAGTGTTTCCCACACTTCAGTGGGTCTCAAGCACCAGCCCGCATCAGAATCACTGCGTGCAGGGCCATCCGACAGAATTCTGTGACGACGGAAACGTTCTGTGTCTGTATCATCCAATACGCTAGCTACAGGTGGCACGTGGGCTGTGGCTGAGTGCCATCAAGGGCGTGACTTTTTAACATTATTTCATTTTAACTCAAAATGAAATATAAACAACCCACACATGGCTAGTGGCCACTGGACTGGAGTGTAGACCCAGAGGGCTTGTTGAAACACAGATCTCTGGCAAACCAACTTGGTCTGTACACTTTACTCAAATCACAACCAAAAGTTAATAAATCAATCAATGGAATACAGGTTGCTGGGCTCCACCCCCAGAAATTCTGACTCAGTTGGTGTGAGGTGGAGCTCCTGGGCGGTGCAGATCCCCAAAAGGCTGGAGGGTCGAGTCCACGCAGAGGTGCATTGGAAGAAAGGCCTGGTGACATAGTTCTGGAAAAACCAGTCACTGAAAGCCCTGCGGAGAGAGTTCTGCTCTGACCCAAGAGGCCGCTGGGAACCGTACCTGACTCCCTCGAGGGCAGCTGTATGCTAGGTCTGGGGTAGGGCCCAGGTATCTGCATCTCTAACCAGCTCCCAGGTGATGCTGAAGCTGCTGGTCTGGGAGCCACACTCTGAGAACCACTGAAAGTGCTCACAATAAATGCTAACTGCAGTTGCCCCTGTATCTCCCACAGCAACGAAACCAGGCTATGACACCCTTCTGAGGGTAGGGGTTGGAACCCTCCAGGGTCACAGAGTAGAACTCAAAGGCCGGGGAGACTGGCTCAAGAGGGTTTCATCCAGCTGGAGTGGTGCCTTAGGCCTGTTTCGGATGGCGAACAGGCCCTTCTTGACGCTGTTCTCCCAACAGCAGTTCTCGATTTTCATGATATTCAAGACGCGGGTGATGGGGGCGTGGAGGAGGGAATGGAGGAGAGAGTTCCCGACTCCACATCAGTGCCTTCTCGGGGACAACACCATGGAAGGATCTGTGCAGAGACCTGGCTTTAACCAAAGCTACCTCTACTTTAACCAAAAACCAAAACCAAACTCACTGCCATTGAGGCGATTATTGACTCATGGTGACTCCTCTTTGGGTTTCCGAGGCAGTATCTCTACGGAAGTAGATTGCCCAACCTTCCTTCCGAGGAGTGGTTGGTGGGTTTGAACCTCCAGCATTCTGGTTAGCAGTCAAGTGCCTTAGGCACTACGCCACCAGAGCTCCTAGAGGACATTATACTGAGGGCAATGAGTCAATCACAAAAGGACCAATATTGTATGAAACAACTACTGTAGAAAATCAAGGTAAGTTTTACAATACACAGAAAGAAATATTCCTTGAGGGTTATCATGGGTGGGAGAGTAATGGAAGGTAAGTCATGACTGAAGAGTTGATACATGTTAATTAGGTTAAAAGGCAATATTCAGCAAGGGGGAGGCCAGCACAAAGCCTTCAAGGCAAAGGAAGACCCTGGGAGGAGTGCAGGATTTAAAGGCAACAGAGGAAAATACCACTACATCCACAATCCTGCAGTAACAGTAATAACAATAAGCTATGAGTGGACACGTAGATACACATGCAAGTTGAACAGGTATGGGAAGGTGAATGGAACTACACCCATGAATATATAGAGATTTGACAGGGGCTGTTTCTACACATGTGTTTATATATGTTGCAAATGTATCTCTGAATATAGTAGAGTATGCAGGGAACAAAGTTATGAAAACTTCTCAGGTGTAACTACACATCTTGAGGGAATGAGTGGTGGGCAGGGGCTCAGGACCATAGTCTTAGAAGACATCAAGGTCAATTGGCACAACACAGTCCACAAAGACGATGTTCTACATCCTACTTTGGTGAATAGCAACTAGACTCTTAAAAGCTTGTGAGTGACCTTGTAAGATGCAACTATTGGTCTTTCCCCTTCTGGAGCAAAGAAGAATGAAAAAAAAAAAAAAAAATCAAACGATGCAAGGAAATAATTAGTCCAAAGGACTAATGGACATGAACCCCAGCCTCCAGAACCCTAGCCCAGAAGAACGAGCCGCTACACAGCCGCCACTGCCGACAGCTCTGAAAGGAACCACAGTAGGAGGTGTGGACTGGGAGAATATAATACAAAACTCAAAATCACAAAGACGACCAGGCTTAGTGGGCTGACTGACAAAGACTGGTGAAACCCGAGAATAAGAAGCCTGGACCCAAACTCACTCCCAGGGGTCAACTTTCAGCCGAACAACAGACAAGCCTACAAGATGGACAGTAACACCAGGGAGCACGTACTCCTTAGAACAAGCAACCATACGAGATCAAAATGGCAGCATTAGTCTGGGAGAGAGCTCAGAAGGCAGGATGGGACAGGAAAGAATGAGTGGAAATGGAAAGCATAGGGACGAAGTGGGAAGAGGGGGTTACATGGTGGGGGTTACAGTGAATGTCCTAAGTATGAACTGCAGCATGGAAAACCAATGTGCTCTGTAAACCTTCACCCAAGTCACCAAAACAGCATTAAAAAACCCAGCCACCGAAACCTCTATGGGGCACAGCTCTAATCTGACAAATGTGGGGTTGGATGAATCAGAATTCACAATTTTTTTTTTTTAAAGTATTTGCTGTTCCAATGAATACATAAGAAACAAAACAAAAAATTCACAGCCACCGAGTCGATTCCAACTCATAGCAACCCTGCAGGACAGACTGAAACTTCTCATAGTGTTTCCAGGGCTGCAAATCTTCATGGAGCAGACTGCCTCATCTTTCTCCCGTCAAACAGCTGGTGGGTTCAACCTTTTGGTTAGCAGCTGAATGCTTTAACCACGGGCCACCAGAGCACCTTGAACATATCAAAGGAAGTTGGAATTTACAGAGTCTCTGTCTTTTATGGCAGTCGAAGCCATAAGTTGTTATTAGATGTCATCGAGTCAGTTCTGCCTTATTGTACAACAGAAGGAAACACTGTCCGGTCCTGTGCCAACTTCACACTCATTGCTGTGTTTGAGCCCATTGTTGTAGCCAGTGAGTCAATGCATCTTGTTCAGGGTCTTCCCTCAACTCAACCTACATGATGTTCTTCTCCAGGGACCGGTCTCTTCTGATAATATGCCCAAAGTACGTGGGATGAAGTCTCACCACCCTCACTCCTAAGGAGCATTCTGGCTGTACTTCTTCCAACACAGATTTGTTTGCTCTTCTGGTAGTCTGTAGTATATACAATACTCTTTGCCCATATCACAATTCAAATGCATCAATTCTTCATCGGTCTTCCTTATTCACTGTCCAGCTTTTACATGCATATGAGGCTACTGAAAATATGACTGAAGTCACTAAGGTGGCATGGGCCAGGCACACCTTAGTCCTCAAGGTGACATCTTTGCTTTTTAACATGTTTAAGAGGTCTCTTAAGGCAGAATTGCCCAATGAATTGATTTCTTAACTGCTGCTTCCATGGTCGTTGATTGTGGATCCAAGTAAAATGAGATCCTTGGCAATTTTAATCTTTTCTCCATTTATCATGGTGTCGCTTATGTCCTACTGTGAGGATTTTTGTTTTCTTTATGCTGAGGTGTGATCTATACTGAAGGTTATAGTCTTTTAGATCTTCATCAGTAATCACTTTAAGTTCTGTTTGCTTTCAGCAAGCAAGGTTGTGTTATCTGCGTATCACAGGTTGTTAGTAAGTCTTCCTCCAATCCTAATGCCGTGTTCTTCACATAGTCCAGCTTCTTGGATTATCTGCTCAGCATACAGATTGAATAAGTATGGTGAAAGGATACAACCCCGACACACACCTTTCATGATTTTAAACCACACGGTATCCTCTTGTTCTGTTTGAATGACTGCCTCTTGGTCTATATACATACAGGTTCTGCATGAGCACAATTAAGTGTTCTGGAATTTCCATTCTTTTCGATGTCATCTGTAATTTGTTATGATCCATACAGTCAAATGCCTTTGTATAGTCAATGAAACAGGTAAACACCTTTCTGATATTCTCTGCTTTCAGGCAAGATCCATCTGGCATCAGCAATGATCTCTCGGTTCCATGCCCTCTTCTGAATCCACCTTGAATTTCTTGCAACTCCCTGTCAGTGTATTGCTACAACCATTTTTGGATTACCCTCAGCAAAATTTTACTGGCATGTGGTATTAATGATATTATTAGATAACTTCGGCATTCTTTTGAATGAATAACCTTCTTTTTGAATGGGCACAAATACGGATCTCTTCTGGCTGGTTAACCAGAAAGCCCCAAGAGTCCACATGCTGAAGAGGCTGCCCTGATGCTGCGTGAGTATTTGGAACTCACTCTTTTGGAGTTGGACATTCTTGTGGAACAAGTAGAATCTTAGAAAATTGGCTCTTACCTTCCCCAGGGAAAGGAGAGGGAGCCAGGCTGGGAGTTGTGGGGAAGGGGAGACAATGGAGAGAAGGGGACCAGCTCCCTCCTTCCCTCCTTCCTTAGTCCTTAATCCGGGAAGGGCCAGGGACTGATGGCTTGGAGGCTCCAGCACTCCAGCACTCCCAGCTCTGGAGGCAGAGCAGGGCTTCATGGGGCTCACACGTGGACTTGGGTGACAACCAAACTCAACCAGCTTTCTCCCACGGCTGCCAACAAACAGCAGACACGAGCCTGTCGTTCTGAGCAGAAGTCAATCCTGAGCGTGGGCCCAGCTCCAGGCAGCAGTCAGGGCTGTGCCAAAGGACCAGCCAGGGCCTGAAGTCTGGCAGAGGGCTGGCTTGTCTTTAGCCTCTTGGAGGCCCAGGCTTTAGGAGGGAGCCACCAGGATTATTCCTACTCGGACATGAACTCACCGGCTCCGAAAACATCCAGGAGCTCCTGCCCACTCCAGGCATGAGGAACTGCGCGCAGAGACAAGGCTGTGCAGAGCTCCATTTTCCAGCCCCTTGTGCTGCAAGACTTGTAGGGAGGGAGAGGCTAGGCTGACCGATCAAAGCAGAGAAGGAGTCTGGGAACCGGCAATTCCCATGGCAGCCTGGGCCAAATGGGAGGGAAAGAGACTCACCCGTTTGGAAGAGGTTTAGCTCACACTCCAGGTAGTCAAACATCTCCACTGTTAACTGGAAACTGGACCCGAGAGGAAAGAAAGCATGATTATACTCCATGGCCCCAGAACAGTCTTACTTGTCCCTCACCACCTTTGTATCATACCATGGTCCCATCCCCCAGTAAACACACACACACACACACACACACACACTTTAATTCTTAGCCTCCCCCCAGGAGGTTTTAAGGGCCTTATAGCCCACTGAGGACTAAGGACAGTATAGCAGTAAGGACAGTGGTAACAGCAAAAGGAGAGAAGAGACACCAGGGTTGGGGTGGGTTGACTTGGAGGGTGGAGGTAAAATAGAGAAGCCAGCCTTGGGGTGTGAGACAGCCTGGCAGAGTTCCAGCCACGGCACAAACAGGAAGTGACCCCACCCACCCCAGGGGTGGTTTTAGTCTCCGCCCACATCACTCCCATCATGCCCTCCATGACCCTAATGGGAAGTGATGGCACCTACCAAAGCTTTTTCCCTCACTGGGTCTAGAGCATGAGAAGGGCCACTTACAAGTTGTTAACATCACTTTCTCCAGCGTCATCCAGCTGTCGGTCACTCATCTGGAGGTTGCCTGGAAACCTGGGATTCTGAAAGGGAAGCAGAGGCAGAAGTCAGACTAGGACGCCGCAGGAGCTCTCTAGCCCAAGCAAGCCAACATCAGAGCCAGCCTCATCTTTCTCCCAAGGAGTGGCTGTGGGTTCAAACTGCCGACCTTTGGGCTAGGAGCCAAATGCTTTAACTACTGCACCACCAGAGCACCCTTCATCTCCACCAAAGGCCATGCAATTTCGGTTATAAGTCCATCTGCCTATACCAGGCACACAACAAATATGGTGACCCAAGCCCTAGTCTTTTCAGTCACCTCAAATGCGTGTGAAAGCTGGACAATGAATTAGGAAGACCCAAGAAGAAGTGATGGCTTTGAATCGTGGTGTTGGTGCCAAATACTGAATATTCCATGGACTGCCAGAATAGCTACCAAATCTATCTTGGAGGAACTAAGGCTGAATGCTGCTCCTTAGAAACGAGAATGGCCAGACTTCATCTCTGGTGCTTTGATCATGATGTCAAAAGGGACTAGTCCTTGGAGGACATCATGCTTGGTAAAGTAGAGGGTCATGGCCTCTGGTTCTGGGCCTGAACTTGGTTCCCGAGTCCCACTGGGCACTCCATGCCCACACCTCTCTGTCCTTGGGTAACAGAGCCTACACGCAGGGCTCTCCGGCCACCGTGACTCTCCTTCTTCACTGTCCTCATGGTGGTTCCTACACTTCCTCTTCCCAGCCTGTTATTCTTCTAGATCTTTCAAGGAAGCCTTCAACCTCAAACACGCACAGAAGACTCAGTACACTGACTTTAACTTAAATCCGCCCCTCCCAAAAGGACAGTGCAGCCTTCTGGAGTGATGGGTGCTCATTTCCCATGATTCCATTTACAGCTAGGATGTGTGGTCAGCATTCTTCTAGGGTCCCAGTGTTTCTCCATGTCACATAAAATGGCTCTTGCTTGAAGGTTCATTCGATTCAGTTATTCCTGCTCTGAATGGCCTTATCACTGGGATCTGCCAATCTCCTGGTCACTACCCTGTAGTCACCCAAGTCTCTATCACCTGGGTCAGAGGCTTCCTTTAGCCCTGTGACATCCTTAATTTTAGACACATTTGTCTCTACTCCAGTTACTTATACTTGTGGCCCAACCCTGGACCTTGCCATCACCTAGAATTGTCCCTCAACAGACTTCTCCATGGCAGCATGTCACTCTGATGGTGACATCTCGCCCTGCCAGCCCGCTCCCTCCTTTATGCCCACTGCCCCTGGTCTGTCTTTATTGCTCCCTTTTCTCTCAGTCTGTCGGCCCCTCTTGGTCATGTTTACCTCCTTGCTCTACCTGGACTTCACCACTGGTGGCTGGTCCCGTTCTCCCATACGCTGGTCTTTCCACCGTCTTGCAGATGAAACCAGTTGACCTGGATCCTTTTCACATCTGTGTGCTAACTGCCTTGGAGAACAGCTCACAGCCGCTGTTACTATTAAACAGTGCTCCGAAAAGTCCCTGCAATGGCTCTTGACTGACTGCCTTTTCCTTCCATAACGGTTCACAAAACTGGTGCCCGATTCCTATGCTGTCATCTCAGTACGGCCCTGCTTCCTTCATCACATGGAAACGGCTGCCAACCTTTTGGCTAGTAGTCAAGCACTTTAACCACTGAGTCACCAAGGCTCCTGAATCTGAATTAGATAATTAGATGCTCCCTCATGGTTTTTTTTTTTTTTTAATTGTGATTTGGGTGAAAGTTTACAGAGCAAATTCACTTTCCATACAGCAGTTCACATACACTGTCTCCTGACACTGACCACAATTTACCACAACCCTCATATGCTTTTATACCATCTTTTGCTTCTCTCAATTACAGCAACCCTATTGCATTTGTCTTCTCCCCTTCCATCATCTCCCAAACAAAATGTAAGACTTAAGGGCGAAGACAGAGTCCTTCTTGCTTCAGAACCTGACCTAGTCATCTGAGACAATACAGTGTGTATGTGGGGGGAGGTAAGAGGGAACACAGAGCACAGTGGTTCACAGCACAGCACAGGCTTCAGTGGCCAACAGGCCTGTGTTCACATCCTGACTTCACCAGTGAGAAGCTATGTGGATAAGGGACTTAACCACTCTCTAAGCTTTATCTTCCTAGAATATAATAACAACTACTTCACAGTGTTGTTGTGAAGATTCAATAATGTTAAAAAATGCCCTTAAATAACCCATGGAAAAAAGAAGATGCTAAAAGTGATTAGAAAGTACTTTGAGATAAGTGAAAATAGAACATACCAAAACCTACGGGATGCAGTTAAAAGCAGCACTCAGAGAGAAATTTAAAGCTTTAAGTGCTTACACTTTAAAAAAAGAGCCCAAATCAATAATCTAACTTTATATTCAAAGAAGTAGAAAAAGAAGAGCTCCCTTTTCTCTCAGTCTGTCGGCCCCTCTTGGTCATGTTTACCTCCTTGCTCAAAGCTAACAAAAAGAAAGAAATAATATTAATAAATGGAAAGAATAAAGGTGAAATGAAATAGAGACTAGAAAACCAGAATCAATGAAACCAAAAGTTGGTTAGCAGAAAATATAAATAAAATTGATAAACCTTCAGCTACTCTGACCAAGAATGAGAAAGAGAAGGCTCAAATTACTAAAATAAGAAATTATGGTGAAGACATTACTACAGACTTCACAGAATTAAAAAGAAGTATAAAAGGATACTGGGAGCTCTGGTGGCATAGTGCCTAAGGCATTTGACTGTTAACCAGAAGGCTGGTGGTTCAAACCCACCACCTGCTCCTTGGAAGGAAGACTGGGCTATCTATTTCCATAGTGATATGTCCCCCTGGATAGAGCAAATGGTTTGTGCTTGGCTGCTGATCTAAAGTATGGCAGGTGACATCTAGTGACAGCATATAAGAAAGGCTGGTGATCTGCTTCTGTGATGATTACAGCCAAGAAAGGCCTGTGGGGCAGTCCCACTCTGTAATCCATGAGGCCACTTGGTGCAGTGAATTACCTGGTACGGCGTTTCTAGCCATGGCTGTGTGTCTCCGGCCAGATGACTTGGTGGAGCTATGCAAATGTAAGGTGTTTGTGGCCCACCGAAGGGGACTGGATAGCTTACCAGTAATATAAATAAGGTACACAGTGTCCTTGTAGGGGTGGAACTGCGCAAGTCAGGTATATGGAACCCTACTGTGAGGCCTGGTCAGTTTTGCCATCTTGCTAATGCGCCATCCAGAGGGAGAAAAGGGGGGATGATCTCACTACCATCAAGAAAGAACAGCCCCAAGTGGAGCATGTCATTGGACCCGAGACCCCTGTGCCGAGATGACAGCAGAGACAGAGGCAGCAGAACCGAGAGAGACTGGCATGAGACATCACAGTGGGCCTCCTGGACTTTGGAGCAAGAAAGCTGAATGCCTCTGGGCAGGAGGCTTGCTGGTAGAGTGCGGTACACCTGTCAGCACAGCTCAAAGAGCTCTGTCATACCCAAGCAGGGTGCAGGCCAGGCTGCGAGGCCAGGGGCCAAAGAAGTGTGCCTGAGGGCCTGGCAGAGAAGAGGCTGTTCTGATCAAAGGAACTGTATACCAAGCACATTCCTGAACCCGAACTGTAATCTGTTACTTCCCCAATAAACCACAAAATCATGAGCCACTGCAATGAAGCGTGCAACCCAGCAGAAAAGCAGAGAGGCCAGGGGAGGGATGGCTGGTGTCGGAATCGGCGAAAAGGGTGGTGGCGTCTGGCCTCGTAGGAATCAGCCTTGGGCTGCTGATTGTGATTCCGTCTCCCTCTCATGAGGTTTGAGGTCAGCGGATGCCGCCCCATGTCCTCTCTTTTGTAGCTGCCATACATAAGAACTCACTACAGCAAAGGGCTTGTTTTTCTGGTTTTATTGACAATTGGAGAGTCCGTGGGTGGGACAAATGGTTAATGTGTTTGTCTCCTAACCATAAGATCGGTGGTTCAAGTCCTCCCAGAGGGGCCTGGAAAGAAAGGCCTGGCAATCTGCTTTTAAAAATCAGCCACTGGAAACCCCGTGGAGCTCGGCTGCACTCTGACACCAGGGGATTGGCCGGGGTTGGAATCAATTCAACAACTGGTTACCAGCAGCCGTCTGCCAACAAACAGATAAACTGGATGAAATGGACAACTTTCTGGAAACACACAAACTCCCAAAACTAACTCAGAAAGAAACAGACAACTGAGCAGATCTATAACAAGGACAGATATTGAATCATTAATCAAAAACTTCCCAACAATGAAAAAGCACAACACCAGACAGCTTCACTGGGGAACTCAACCAAACATTTAAAGAAGGATTAACATGAATGTTACAAATACTCTGCCAAAAAAATAGCGGAAAAGGGAACATTTCCTAATTCATTCTATAGGGCTGGCATTACCCATGTACTAAACCCAGGTAAAGAGATCACAAAAAAGGAAACTATAGCTTAATATCCCTTCTGAATATAGATATAAAAATTCTCCACAAAATACTAACAAACTGAATGCTGCAGGATATTAAAAGGATTATACATCATGATTAAGTGGAGTTTATGCCAGGAATGAGAGGGTGGTCCTACATAAGAAAAGCAATCGATGTAACACACACATTTATAGAATGAAAAACAAACTTACATGATTATCTCAATTGATGCAGAAAAAGCATGTGACAAAAGCCAACATGAATGATAAAAACATTCAACAAACTAGGAATAGAAGGGGACTTCCTCAATGTAAGTGACATTTATGAGAAACCTCCAGCGTTGACCATGATACTCAGTGGTGGGAGACTGAAAGCCTTCCCTGGAACAGCACTGGAATGCGGCTCTTGCCACTTCTGTTCGGCAGTGTCCTGGGTGCTCAGCCTGAGCAATGGGCAAGGGGAACACAGGCACCCGCACAGGGAACGTAAGAAGTCAATGATCTTTATTCACAGATGATCTTATATGTAGAAAGTCCTAAAGAATCTACAAATAACTAGTAGAGCTAATATACCAATTCAGCAAAGCAGCAGATACAAGATCAAAATACAAACATCAGTCGTATTTCTGTACGATGTCAATCAACAATACAAAACCAGAACAAAGAAAATGATTCCATTTACAACAGCATCAAAAACAATAAAATGTTATAGGAATAAATTTTACCAATTTTACTTGTACACCAAAAACTATATACATATACATATGTTGTTGTTGTTGTTGTTATGTGCCGTCGAGTCGGCCCCGACTCATAGCGACCCCTCCTTGGGTTTCCGAGGCAGTATCACTACGGAAGTAGGAATGCCCAACCTTCCTTCCGAGACATATACATATATACATATATATATATATAATATATACACACATACATATATAAACACATACGTACATGTGTATGTATAGATGTATACACACACATGTATATGAAAACAATTAAAGACTCAAATAAAGAGAAAGATATCCCATGTTTATGAGCTGGAAGTTTTAATATTGCTAAAATTGCAGTCATCCCCTAATTGAGCTACTGATTCAGTGCAACCCTTATCAAAATTCCATTGACCTTTTTCTGCAGAAATGGAAAAACTAATCCTAAAATTCATATGGAATTGCAAGGGGCAAAGTCTGAAGACTCACACGTCCTGATTTCAAAACTTACTACATAGCTACAGTAATCAAAACAGTGTGGCACTGACATAAGGTTGAACCTACAGATCAATGGAATAGAACTAAGTGTTCAGAAATAAGTCCACAAATCTGATTGTGGACAAGAATGCTAAGACCTTTAATGGAAGAAAAACAGTGTTTTCAATAAATGGTACTAGGACAACTAGATAATTACATGAAAAACAATGAATTTGGTCCTCTACCTCAAAATGAGGAGCTCTGGTAGCATAGTGCCTAAGGCATTTGACTGCCAACCAGAAGGCTGGCGGTTCAAACCCACCAACCACTCCTTGGAAGGAAGGTTGGGCAATCTACTTCCGTAGTGATACTGCCTCGGAAACCCAAGGAGGGGTCGCCCTGAGTCGGGGCCGACTCCACGGCACATAACAACAACAACACCTCAGAATGGATCAAAGACCTACATGTAAGCATGAAAACTAAAATTCCTAGAAGAAAACATAGGGGCAAATCTTCATGACCTTGGATTTGGCATAGTTCCTTAAATATGACATCAAAAGCACAAGTAACAAAAGAAAAAAACAGATGAATCAGACTTCATCAAAATTAAAAGCCTGTGTGCTCCGAAGGAGGCAATCAAGAAAGTGAAAAGACCATCTACAGAATGGAAGAAAATATTTGCAAACAATATATATAATTAAACTCTGTATCTAGAATATCTAGGAACCTCTTACAGCCAACAACAAAAAGACAGACAGTCCAATTTTTAAAATGGCCAAGGACTTCAAAAGATATTTCTCCGAAGAAGATACATAGATGGCCAACAAGAACATGAAAAGATGCTTCACATCATTAGTCAGCAGTAAAGTACAAATCAAAACCACAATATATTACTGAGATACTAAGATGGTCTAGGAGCTCTGGTGGCGTAGTGCCTAAGGCATTAGACTGCTAACCAGAAGGCTGGCAGTTCAAACCCACCAGTCATTCCTTGGAAGGAAGGTCGGGCAATCTAATTCTGTAGTGATACCGCCTCAGAAACCCAAGGATGGGTCGCTATGAGTTGGATCTGACTCGATGGCAGTGTGTTAATATAGTCTAATTCAAAAGAGAAGGAATTCTCTTCCTGGTGGTGCAGTGGTTAAGGTATTCAGCTTCTAACCTAAAAGTTGGTGGTTTGAACCTGCAAGACACTCTGCAGGAGAAAGACAAGGGAGTCTGCATCTGTAAAGAAACCCTGTGGGGCAGTTCTACTCTGCTGTATAGGGTCACTATGAGTTTGAACAACTCGATGGCAGTGGGTTTAGTTCAAAAGAAATGAAAATTGTAAGTGCTGGTGAGGATATGGAGAAACTGGAACTCTTGTACACAGCTGGTGGGAATGTAAAATGGTGCTGCTGCTGTGGAAAACAGTTTGGGGCTCCTCAAAATATAAAACGTACAATTATCACATAACCCAGCAAATCCACTCCTAGATACAGACCCAGAAGAAATGAAAACATATTCAAACCTGTACACAAACGTTCCAGAAGCACTACTCACAACAGCCAAAAGGTGGCGACAACCCTAACACCCATCAACTAATGAGTGGATAACCAAAATGTGGTCCATCCGCACAACGACACGGCACCCAGCCATGAGAAGAAATGAAGCACTGATCCATGCTACAACACGGAAGAACCCCAAAAACATCATGAGTGAATGAGCTCAGGCACAGAAGGTCACCTACAGCCTGGCTCCATTTATGGGAAATAACCAGGAAAGGCAAATTCATAAAGGAGATTAGTGGTTGCCATGGAGATTAGTGGGAGGAAGAGGGAGTAGGGAGTGACTGTTTACTGGGGATGGGGTTTCCTTTTGGGATAATGAGATGTTTTGGAACTGGATGGGGGATGCATTATGAGTGCACTCAATGCTACTGAATTGTACATTTTAAAACAGTCAATTTTATGTTTGTGAATTTTACCTCCATGAAATAAAACTTATTAAAATAACATTCAATACAGTAGGATAGTATCACTGAACCAAAGCTACTTTTATCAAATAGGTTCTTCAGGTACATGAGAGATAATACACATTCAATTATATTATTTTTCCTTAAATTTGTTCCTTTCTCCATTTCCACTGCCAGCTCCCCAATTCAGGCCAGTTTTTCCCTCACTGGACATGTGAATCTTCTTCCCCGTCACCCATCTGCACCCCACCCATCTTTCAAGATCCACCTCAAGCTGTATACTTCTTTCACTTTGCATCTGTGACACCATTACCCTCAATAATTTCAGATCATCTCTAGTATTTGTCCAGAAGCACACATAATTTGTTATTTCTTTGACATTATCACATAGTTACTAAAATTGTGTAAGACTTCTCTCCCCAACAAATCTAAATTCCTAAGTTGTTGTTGTTGTTGTTGTTGTTATGTGCCGTCGAGTCGGCCCCGACTCATAGCGACTCCTCCTTGGGTTTCCGAGGCAGTATCACTACGGAAGTAGGATTGCCCAACCTTCCTTCCGAGGAGTGGCTGGTGGGTTTGAACCGCCAGCCTTCTGGTTAGCAGTCAAGCGCCTTAGGCACTATGCTACCAGAGCTCCCAAATTCCTAAGAGCACATCATTTTCACTTATTTTCCACCTGTGGCCAAAAGCACACAGGTTGCATGCCTCACATGCATATGAGAAATACTGACTAAAATCCTGTATTGATTAAAAGAAGATTCAGCGGTGGAAACTCACTATATAAATGGAAGGAATTGTTTTTTATTAATAGCAAACAGTAAAATCGGTGTTTCCAGAACATTTTTACAAGGCAGCTTAGTGGCTATGGTTCCTCTTCCTATTTGCAAAATGGAAAAACACAAAAGGTGCAGGTATGACTTGGGCCCAAATCCTAGACCTCTGGTCAAATCTCAGGGCTGACTATGGTGGCCCTAAAAATGTTTCCCTCTCACACAGCTGGGATACGGTATCAACACACCCTGAGGAGTACAGACTGTCTCACTGCCTGAAAGTCTTGATGATGAAGCCCACAGAGGTGCTGAGGAGAATGGTGTTAGGGGTGAGAAGGAGAGGGTGATAGCAGAATTGTCCACAAAGACTCACTTTGGTATGGTACTCCATCTTCGTTCTCAGTAGTTTGAGGTAGATGCTGCAGAGTTGTCCATACCCCTCACTTAGGTGACCCTTTCCAAAAAGGAGACAAAGTATGGTATCAGCGCTAAGGAACTTCTGAGTTGAGAGACTGACAGCCAGGACTGGAATATATTTCTTAGAATTATAAAAATAACAAACGTTCATTGTTGAAAATTTGGACAATGTAGAAAAGAACACACATACAAGTTTCAGTCTTAATCTAGCTATGAAACAGAATCATGACTAACATTTTGGGGTAACCTTCCCTGTATTTTTAAATACAAAATGAGATAAACTGTTTTTTCCCCCTTAATACACCACAATTTTTTTGCACGTCCTATTGTATCATTATTTTTAGTGACTGCTTCATGAATTACAAATGTGTCATAATGTACAGAACCAATTCTCTATGACTGTACATTTTACATGTTGCCAAATTTATCTATTATAATATTTCAATGAACATTTTTATAATATAATCTTGTTTATAAACATGATGGTTCCTTAGAAAAAATATTGGACAGGGTTTCTTATTTAAGCATTTTAAGACTCCCACTCTTAATAACCAGTCTAGCCTAGAGCTACTTCGTCCTTCTGTCTCTGTCACCTCCCTCAGATGGATTCCAAAAGACCAAGAGGATATACAATATTACATGTGATAATAATATGAGGTGGAACCCATCAGCGCGATCCCTCCTTGGGTTTCCGAGGCGGTATCACTATGGAAGTAGATTGCCCAACCTTCCTTCTGAGGAGTGGCTGGTGGGTTTGAACCGCCAGCCTTCTGGTTAGCAGTCAAATGTCTTAGGAACTGTGCCACCAGAGCTCCTAGGCACATACTAAGATCTTTAAATTAGCCAAAGAGAAAACACATGTTAGCTTCAAAGGAACAACAGTGAGTCTGACAGCTGACTTCATGAAAATAATGGAAGTCAGAAGTCAGTGGAAAGATATCTTGAATATTCTCCATGTATGGAGAGAAAAGAACTCTCTAGAATTCTAAATCCAGAGAAAGTATCTTCCAAGAGTGAGGGTGAAGTAAACACATTCTCAGGTAAGCAAAGTTGGTGTCTGCTGCTAGTCAACACTCACTAGAGGAAATTCTAATGGAAATAATTCAGGCTGAAAGAAAGTGATACCAAAGGAAAGGTCTGAGATATGAGGAAAAAATGCAGAGTACAGAATAAAACAATGACCATAACATCTCAGTGTTTAAAAAGAAAAAAAATAACCAAAATTAAGAGCCATGACAGTAATGGCAAAGAAATTGGGAGGGAGTGAATCGAGTTAAAATATTCTAATATCATCATGTCATATAGGTAACAGAGACAGAAATAAATTTTAGACCTTGAGAAGTTAAACATGCACTTTGAAATTAGTAGAGAGCCTACAAAAATTTAAAAAGGAAAAGAAAACTTTCCCCTTCCAATTAGTAATAGGGAAAAAATGGAATGAGAAAAAAAATACCCAATCTAAAAGGCAAGGAATGAGAGAAAAAGAAACAGAACAGATGGGACAAACAGAAAGCAAAAGACAAGACCGGAGATGTATATACATTTATTACAATAAATGTAAACAGATTAAACACCCACTAAATGACATCATCTGTCAACTACCATCTTGACTTAAAAAAAAAATCCACCTAAATGCTGCTTAAAAGGGACATTTCTAAAACATAATACAGATAAGTTGAAAGTGAAAGAATGGAAAAGATGTATCAGGATAATTCTAACTACAAAAAAAAAAAAAAAAAGTAACACTCAAATTTTCCACACTATCGGGTACTAACATGCAGTTGAAAGATTCGAGGACTCAGCTTTGTGCAGGTAACTAGCCTGGTGCCTTTGGGCAGGTAGTTTCCCGCACTGGGCCTTTATTTCCTCACCTGTAATGGGTGGACTGGACTATGTAATCACTCACATTTTGTGAGTACAGACAGAGAGTTAATAATCAGGAGAAATGGGCTAAAGGGAACAGTTCTGAACCAGTGGGGGTCAAGCGGGATATCAGAATGAATCCAAGAGACTCTCCAAGGGCAGACCACCCACCCCTGCCACACACACACCTCTGCAACAGCAAGGTCTAACAGGGATTCTGGTGTGTGTATAAAAGCACTTTTTTTTTTTTTTCAATTGACTCTGATATTGCCACATACTTTCTCCCTCATCCCAGTAAGTGCATCATCCCATTAAGGGTATGTCAATTCTCAATGCACTGTGACCCCACTGGGAGAGTGGACGGGAAAGAACTAGGAACTGGGGCAATGTCCCTGCTGAGGGGACTTCAAAGTCTGGAGAGAGCTGTGACACGAGGTTCCAGACAGCAGATCTCAGCTCTAGAACCTCTCTGCAGCTTCCAGGGACCCTGGAAAGACAATGGATACCACGGTACTATTTTGGGGTACCCTTGGCCCTTCTCTGGTTCTCATGGGAGAAATCCCAAATAAACAGAAAGGGAACGTGTTCCATTCCACAGTCCTGGTTCTGTGGCTACCGCAGAAGGACCGGAGTAACAGGTGGTTGCCGATTCTATCTCCAAACTCACCCACATTCTGCTCATGTCACTCAATTCATTTTTGTATCTCAGAGAGTCCTTCAGGACCTGGAGAGGACAGAGAACAGGTCATGAGAGAACAGGGAACGGTGAAGGCTGGAGCTGGCTGGAGCAATGGCTGACCAGACAGAAGTGCATCCACCTCGAACTGGCAACAAGGGCCAGGAGAAAATGGCTGTTCCGCAGGGTGGGCGTGGAGAGCAGCCCTTCACAGCGGTGCCGTAACCCTTTCTCGCCCAGCTCCCTGGCCGCCCCACTGCAGTCCCAGGAACTCACGTTTGGGTGTCCATCTCGGAGGAGTTTGTGGAACACGTGGCAAAACTTCCAGCAGAGCACGGCGTTGCTGGAGAGAGGCAGTCGGTTGACGGCAGACCAGAAGGTCTGTGCCCCTTTCTCATGGTGGGTGCCCAGGATGCATGGTGAGGCAAGGTCATGGAAAAGAAAGGCATGGGCTCTGACCCGGCTGTGGGCAGTGAGTTCCTGCAACACGCCACCTGGTCGGCTTGTGCAGGGCACAGTGGTGCAACCTCAGGAGGGGCGCCCTTCACATCCACTGCTCTGGACACACCACTGCTCTGTGTATTTACTCTGTAACACTTCCAGTGGCCATCAAGTATCTTGTTCTAATAAAACCCACTTAGCCAGACGATTTCCCCATAGATGGAAGTGTCCTGAGGGAGGGCTATCTTTTTCTACACAATGTGCTATACAAATGTACAAATCTACACAAATGTACAAATCTACACAGATGTGCTCCGTCTGCAAAGATACAGGCTTTGCTCCTCCTGTGGGTAGGCTGAACGTGCGACGAGGTCCCTGGGGAATAACCATAGCTAACATTTTAATTGCACATGATTGTTTCTAAGTTCTTTCTTATATGTCATTTGAAAGACACGTAATGCTTCAGCTTTTAATCAACCATGGGTCTGGCTGGGGACCTGACCCTGCCCTACTGACTCTCTTGGCTCTTTTTGGAGGCAGCATCTCCAACTCCTCTCCAACAAGGCAGCCCTGTTCCCTCCTTGAAAGCAGCATTCTTTAACGTGTCCTTCCCCTGGTTACTGCCTAAGGCATATGACTGCTAACCAGAAGGTTGGCAGTTCAAACTCACCAGCCGCTCTGTGGAAAGATGGGGCAATCTATTTCCATAGATTTACCGCTTGGGACACCCAGTGGGGGTCGCTCTGAGTCAGAATCAACTCAACGGCAGTGAATCCGGAGTTTCATTTTTGGGTTCCCCTAAACTTACAAGTGGGAGCTCTGGTAGCATAGTGGCTAAGACACTTGCCTGCTAACCAGACGGCTGGCGGTTCAAACCCACCAGCCACTCCTCGGAAGGAAGGTTGGGCAATCCTACTTCCGTAGTGATACTGCCTCGGAAACCCAAGGAGGGGTCGCTATGAGTCGGGGCCGACTCGACGGCACATAACAACAACAACAACAACAAACTTACAAGTACATGGCTCCCCCGCCTCCTCCACAAGCCTTCCTGGTCTTGTCCAGAAGCGTCTTCGTCTCCTAACACCTTGAATTCCCTGTATGTGGAATCTTGGGGCCCCTTCCTCCTGAGATCCAATTCAAAACATACCCACCCGCCACCCTTGAACTGCCTGTCCCATGAGGTTTGCATGTAATGAGTGTTCATCTGGCTTTGTGTGACTTTCGGGGGACTCCAGAGCCCAGGAATCAGTAAGCTACCTTGGAGGGGGTGGAGGATTTCCACATTACTTTTGTTATTGCTTGAATAGGCCTCACAGACCCAGTAATTGGGATCCATCAACTCTAAGTCAGTGAAAAAGGGGAAGACCCTCAAGGAGACAGATGGACTGACACAGTGGCTGCAATGATGGGCTCAAGACCAGCAACGATTGTGAGAGTGACACGGGGCCGGGCAGTGTTTTGTTCTGTGGTGCACGGGGCTGCCATGAGTCGGAACAGACCCCATGGCACCTGACAACCATTGCCCTAAGTACAGCTCTTCACCTAGAGCCTTAGGTTTCCTTGTCAAGGCTCCAGTAAGGAGTGTGGTATCACTTAGAGCAGAAATACTTGCCTCAGGCTGGAAACTAAAGGGCTCCCCCAGAACACAAGCTGTTTTGCTTCTGAGCTAGAAAGTTCCATCAAGCTCCGTCCCCAGACTGAACTTTGCATTTGGATGGGGATAGTATTCAACACTGATTTTGGGTCTCGGAGCTGGAGTCAGCTTTTGGTCTTGAGTTATTCCTGAAACAATTTATGGTTTCACCTAAGCACAGCCTCTTCAGACTGAAGGAGGCAGAGAGACGGGCAGCTCCTGCCCTCTCACACACAGGTTTCTCACGGGCCAACTGCAGTTACTACGTTGCTGACGTGTGCCTACCGTGTTGATTCTGACTCAACAACCCTGTAGGACAGAGTGGAACTGCCCCATAGAGTTTCCTGGGCTGTAATAATTACAGAAATAGATCCAGAGCTTTTACCCCATGGAGCTGCTAATGGGTTCGAACCTCTCTGATCTTTTGGTAAGTAGCCAAGCACTTTAACCACTGCACCACCAGGGCGCCTTCTAATTACGTAATACTGGCACTCAGTCTGTCTAAACAGAAGCCAGATGAGGTGGACTCTGATGTCCCTTCCATCATCCGAGTGATGTGGCCCTGCCACTGTAGGCCTGGTCCAAATCACTTCTGGCCTATGACAAGCAAAACCTCCTCTCACTTTGTGTCTTGCATCAGAATGATCCTAAATATTTGGCAGGTAAGAGTCAGGATGGGGTACTTCCCTCTGAGAAAATCAATTGGGGGCTTATGACAAAGGCTTCTTTTGGTTTGTTCTGAATCATGACAAAGGACGTCAACCTGGATTCAGTGAAACAAGGGAACTGTGCCTTTCTGGGGGAAAAAAAAGGGATGTGTGTGGCTAGATCTAGCTAGGCTGGTTACCCTGGAGAGGTTCTATAGCTCTATCCCACAACAAAGCCAACCAAATACCTTCTCATTAAAGGCAGGCTGCTGTCACTCTTGGGAAGAGAAGTTCAGCAATACTGTCTACTACGTTCCAGCCATCGTGTTAGGCAGTGCTGGGCTTCTGTGACCACCTACGTGCAAGGGTCTCATCCTGGCACTGAGGAAGGATGTCTTTGAGAAGCTGCTCAGGCCTGACTGGCTGTTGTCGCAGCAACCATGATAAGCCCAGGAAAGAAGGGGCTTTTCCCCACCAGAGAGACAGATGCCAGCCTCGGCTTGCCCTGCACTCCATCACGCTCGGCCCAGCACACACTGACACAAAGGCAGTCCTGCTGGAAGCCGCCTCCCTTAGCCTTCAGGGATGCAGCCCTCCAGCTCCCGGGCTCTACCCCAAGGGCAGGTGTCCAAGGTACCGCCCGCAACTCTCTGCAAAGCCCTTCTCCACACTGGTGGCTGCCATGGGCTTCTGCCCACTGGGTGTTAGGGGCTTGGTAAAGAGCCGTCACGCTGAGGGTCTCGTTTTCTCCCCCTCTGGCACCTGCTCACACAGGTGGACCTGACCCCCATCCTTGAGCCTCTATGGCTGGCTCAAGGCCGGCCAATGGCTACCTTTGAGACCTTTTATTTCCATGCTCAGAAAAGGGGAAGAGAAGGCCTGTTATCAAGAGGGAGCAGTCCCTGGAGAGGGACATCATGCTTAGTAAACTAGAGGGTCGGCAAAAAAGAGGAAGACCCTCAAGGAGGTAACACAGTGGTTGCAATGGTTGGCCCAAACGCATCAGTGATCGCGAGGATGCCACAGGACCAGGCAGTGCTCCGTTCTGCTATATGTAAGGTTGGCATGAGTCTGTCGGTACCCACTCGCTGGCCCCTAATAACAACCATCATCCCCACAACGAGGTGGTCGGTTTGGCCCATGGGTGAAGTGAAGTAGATAACGTGGGCAAAAACCTCTCTCTCCTGTGCTCTGAGGAAATGTCTCAAAAGAAGGGAGGTCAGGGAACAGAGCAGTTCTGAAAGCTCTGTGCAGGATCCTTGGTGAGTTGAAAGGACCGGCTGGTTGGCCTCCAGTCCCTTCCACCCTGGGGGTGTAACATCTCTGAGACCAGAAGCTGCTCAGAGGAGTCAGGGGCCCGGCCCATGTGGGGGTTCCTTTCCTGGAGGTGAGCAAGGAAGCCTGGCCCTGACTTCGGTCCTCACGCCTTGACCCTGCTCAGGCTCAGACTTCCAAGCAACATCCAAAAGGATATTTCTGGCGTGTTTTTCCTTTACGGCCACTTCCTGCATATTAATGGCCTTATTGATGCTGACAGTCTGAAAAACAAGAGGGAGGGGGAGGGGAGAGGAGGATGAGAAGAATAAGCCTCTGAGTGGCTCAGACCTTCCCAGATGCCCCACCCCCTTCTCGTCCTCCAATGAGTCCTCTCTCACCCCACCGACCCCCCTCCAGCCCCACCGCGGGCTGGTCCCTGCGCGGCTCCCCAGCTGGGGGCAGAGGTGGGCAGCGCTCCCGACCAGCTGGTCCAGGCTGTCCCGAGGGAGCGGGCTCTGCCGCCTGGCATTGGCTGTGCTCAGCTGCTGTATCTGCCTGCCATTCATTCACTCGGCACAACAACATGGCAATTAAAGCCAGCACAAAGAGTCGCTTTTCATCCCCAGGGAAACATTATTTCTCTGGGAGCAGGAGGAAGAGGCTCTGAGATCTGGGACCATGCAGCCACTCCCTGCCACCTCTTAAACCGTTTCTTGCAGAGCCTCAGGGGCTGGCCAGCCCGGCATGGTGACTCTAGTCTCCCGTTTTCCCACTCTTGGGTGTTTCTCAACTTCTAACCAAATTCCCTTTTATGCCCTCAATTCCATCAAAGGATATTAAAAATATTACTCCTTTCCATTTTTTTTTTTTTAAATCACAGCTGGTGTTTTAATTTAGCAAAGCAAACATATGAATATAATTCATATAAAGTCATAAACGGGATTATATCGTGTAGGCTCCTTTTTCTAAGTACAGGTTTTCCCTTTTTCTGTTTTGAGTGCTACCCCTGCCACCGACATCACTCTACCCTTAAGCCATGTTAACAAACTGTTACGCATCGCAAACACACACACACCCCCAGAACCAGTTGTCATTCCCTTGAGTCCATTCTGACTCATGACGACCCTCCATGGGCGTCAGAGGACAACTGTTCCACAGGGCTGTCAATCGCTAGTTTTTGGGAAGCAGGCTGCCAGCCCCTTTCCTCACAGTACCTCTGGGTGGACTCTAGCTTCTAACCCACTGGTTAGCAGCGGAGCGTTAACTACTTCCACCACCCAGGGTCTCCCGCACACACTCCAACATACAAACGCTTAAATACAGAAGGAGTTAATTTTGTCATTGTTCTAGAGAAATGAGATTGTCACCCACAGGTTTTTCTACATCTCATTTTTCTCCCTTAAAAATATGGCAAATTCTCCATGTGGACTGGTATGACTCTAGTTCATTCTTTTAAAAAGACAACTTAACGTTCCATGGTGGGGGTGGGGGTGGTTTACAGGAACACTCCTGTGTTGGTAGGCAGTCACGTCAACGCATCGCAACGCCCTGCCGCTGAGTTGGAGCCGACTCACAGAGACCCCTCCTTGGGTTTCCAAGGCAGTATCACTTCCGAGGGGTGGCTGGTGGGTTTGAACTGCCAGCCTTCCGGTTAGCAGTCAAATGCCTTAGGCACTATGTCACCCGAGCTCCTAGGGCAATCATGCTACCACCAGCTTTTTGCCACTGTGGATTATGAATTAGTAAATATTCTTATACATATATTCTAACTCACTGGTGCTTCTATTCTCAAAGGATAGATTCCAAGGAGTGAGATGACTGGGTCCAGATTCATTCTTAACTTTCCATTATGGCGAAGTCCCAACATACACGCCTCAAGGCCAGTCCAGTCTATCTTCATGGAGTCAGTTCTGAGCTGCAGACGTTGTTATCTGTGGCCCAATAAGTGTCCTCGACACCAGGTGCTGGCAAACATGTGTTTGTAAAAAGCTAGTAAATGCTTTAGGGTTTATAGCCCACACTGTCTTTGTCACAAATATTCAACTCAGCTTCAGACAATATGGAAGAGCAAATGAGTGTGCCTACGTTTCAATAAAACTTTATTTACAAAAACAAGCTGCCATCTGGATTTCATCCATGGGCTGTAGTTTGCTGTCCCTTGCTCTATCTCTACACCATCAGCCTCTGACCGTCTCACTCCCTGGAGTATTCTGAAGTAAATCCCAGGTATTACATCATTTTATTAGTATTTCAGAATAACCATCTAAAAAAGAAAAGGACACACACACAAACACAAAGCAACAACACCATAATATATTACCACACCTCAATTTCTAAAGATAATTTCTTAATACCATCAAATCCATCGAGTCAAGCACAACTCACAGGGACCCCTCCTTCGGTTTCTGAGGTGGTATCTCTCCGGAAGTAGATTGCCCAATCTTCCTTCTGAGGAGTGGCTGGTGGGTTTGAACCACCAGCCTTCTGGTTAGCAGTCAAGTGCCTTAGGCACTATGCCACCAGAACTCCCACTATTACCACATCTAAATTTTTAAAGGTAATTTCTTAATACCATCAAGTGGCCAGTTAGTGTTGACATTTTCCTTACCACAATTTGTTCTAATCAGGATCCAAATGAGGTCGCCATATTGCTTTCTAAAAAGGCCCTACCAACTCACATTTCCACAGACAATGAATGCATCCCCACCAACGACTGGTGGTGTGACTCCTTTTCATTTTTGCCAGTTTGATGGGTATAGTGGTATTCCATCCTTAATCTACACTTCCCTGACTGCTGGTGAGTTGAGGATCTTCTTATATGTTCTCTTATGTCAGTTGATTGCCTTACATAGTAAGTATGAACGTCTTATCTTTTACAGCTTCTAGGTTTACTTAAGGTCTCTCCTGCTCCTGGATCATAGACTCTGGCATTTTTCCCTAAGTGTTTTACTGTTTGTTTGTTTTATTACATTACAGTCTGTAATCTATTTTATTTTATGCTATAAAACAGGTTATTTCCATACCTATGATAGCTGGTTCTCTGACACCTGGTTTATGCAATTCTTTGGATGTGTTCTTACGTGCACTTTTCCGCACATGAGTTCCTCCTCCTCCCTAAAACTCAGCTACTTAAGGAGCGCTGGGGGTGCGGTGGCTAAGGCATTTGGCTGCTAACCAAAAAGGTCAGTGGTTTGAAGCTGTCTGCTCCCATCAAGATTTATAACCTGGGAAACCCTATGGGGGTTGCTGACTTGGAATGACTTGATGACAGTGAGTTTTGAGCTCAGTTCTTCCTTTTTTTTTTTTAAATTGTGATTTGGGTGAAACTTTACAGAGCAAATTCACTTTCCATACAGCAGTTCGCATACACTTTGTCTCATGACACTGACTACAATTTCCCACAATGCAACAGCTCCCCTCCCACTTCCTCCCGACAGTCACCTCTTCCCTGTGTCTATCCCTCCACGCACTCCTGCCCCCTGAGCTGTCTCCCTGTGCATAAACAGCCCTTCTTTCTCCCATGATTGTCCTCTCCAAGGAGTGTATCTACATCAGGTAAACATTCAACTCACATGCCTTGAGCTCAGTTCTTAACAGCCTGAGTGCCTTTCCGCATCACACTGGGTCTCCTTAAGGGCAAGGATGTGCCAAGGCCTTCTTCCCTCTTCCCTACAGCACAACACACGGACTCCACTGAGAACAGCCGGACAGGCAGGGTGAGGCCAGTCAAGGGAGAAGCTCACACGCGATGCTGCAAGGAGGGAGTCAGTGGTGTGCTGCAAACACCTCTCAGAGCAGCAGTGCTTGTCTCCTGTGCAGGCCCGTGCCCACAGCATCCTCTTAACACACTTGTGCTCGGACCTTTCTCAGCTTCTGCTGCCAGAACTGTCCCAGACCACCCCTTTCCTTCAGAACTCCTCAGGTGAGCACGGCCGTTCACCCAGTTTGTCCCCTCAGAATGAATGACTCTGGGCAGACCCAACACATGGACTGTACCCTGGACGTTTGCCTGCACTGTGTAAAGGATGCTATCAGACATGATGCAAAATGATAGAGACCTGAACCTGGGGAGGGGCTGGACTGGCTGTGGTCACCCTCTAAGGGATGTGGTAGACAGGCAGTAGTCCTGGTTGCGAAGAAGAGAGAGCCACCTCGGTGGGAAATGTTAGCCACTGCTTCAAGACCTCAAGGTAGGACCACAGCAAGGTGGGGTTTAGACTTATCTCACAAAAATTTCTCTATACAGACTGACCAATTGCATAAGCTTTGGTCATTATGAGCCTAGCTTGTAAAAAACTGAAAACAAGCTTAAAGAGTCCTTTAAGCAACATAAAATAATATACCAGAGTCTGTAATTACAGATCCACTGTGTGTGTGTCTGTCTGTCTGCAAGTTGGAAAATTTCTGTGCCATAAATGTTGAAAGGAGGGAGAAATCAAATGAACCTCAGATGCTGCTCAGGGAAGACTTGTAAGAGGAAGAACAGGATAACTTGTACCAGGCGCCGGCCCCTGGCGATTCACCTCCTCCTCTCATGTCTTCCTACACAAGTTCTGGGGGACCTATGATTTTTCCCATTTTCAGTTGCTCAGAAAGGCCAAGCCACTTGCCAGAGGCCCATGACTCGATCCCAGCCCCCTGCTGGCCTGATCCTAAAGCCCAGCTCCATGCTGCTGTGATAGCTTTGCATTGTGCTGGGGCTTGCAGGGGACTGGGTCCGGACCACAGCCATGGAGGACAGGCCTTCAGGCAGAGGAGCCTGAAGGAGGAAAGGCATCCGTATGGAAAAGCACTGAGCATGCGGCCTGGGGCAGCTGGGGCAGCTGAAACCAGAGCGGGGGCTGGGTGTGCAAGGCAGCAGGTTTCTGGGCAGGTGCGGAGGGGCGGAAGTAGGATTAGCGGGTGGCAGAGCCTGGATATGAGAAGTTGCTGTTGGCTGTGCTGAGTGGGACCCCGACTCACGGAACTCCCATGTACTACCACGCGGAACCCTGCCCAGCCCCACAGCAACCCCGTGACTGGCTGTGGATCAGCTGGTTATAAACCATCGGGTCTCCACTGGCTGTTTTTCGAAAGCTGCTCACCAGGCCTTTCTTCCTGGTCTCTCTCAGTCCAGAAGCTCCGCTGAAACCTGTCCAGCATCCTAGCAACACGCCAGCCTCCACCGAGGGACGGACAGTGGCCGCACGTGAGGTGTGTGGGCCTGGAACTGGACCCGGGTATCCAGAATGAAAGGCGAGACTCTACCCCTGAACCACTCATGTCTCCGTGCAGGTTGGAA